TGGCTCCCAAGGGCCTCCGTGACTAAGACTGAATAGAAATCTGGTTTCCCTGTGGGGTGTTTCTTATAATTAAGTATGTTCCTGGTGGGGCTGAGAAGCTGCCCTCATGAGCTGTTACAAGAGGTGGCTGCTCTTGTGTGTGCAGCTTCCGCCTGCAAGGCGGGCAGCACCCACCCACTCACGTAATACCATCCAATTGGAGATGTTGAGAAACAGCCCCTTGGATCTCAAGAAAGATAAGTTTGATGGCTGGCATGCTAAGACGCTGCTGCTTTCAGTCCTCTCTCCTCCTACAAGGTCAAGTGAACCTGGTGCCCGGTTATAGCCAACTGGGTCCCAAGAGCTTCCCCTGACCGTACAGAGTGGATGCAAGCATGCATCTCTGGTATGTCTGTCTTCAAATGTACCAGGTAATAGGGTGAAAACTTTCCAGAATATACACAACAATTTATATTCTCACCAACGGTTTGTAGGAGTCCCCTCTGTTCTTGCTCTCCCTAATACCTAGTGTGCTTGGACACTGATTTTTTTAAGTCTAGTGAGTGTTTCTTGGTATCTCATGATTTTCATTTGCCTTTCTCTGATTACTAATGAGTGATGGTAATTCCTACATATATATTGGACATCATAATTTCTTTTTTTTTAAGATTTATTTATTTTTAGAGAGAGGAAGGGAGGGAGAAAGAGGGAGAGAAACATCCATCTGCAAGAGATACATTGATAGGTTGACCCTTACAAGCCCCCATCTGGGGACCTGGCTCACAATCCAGATATGTGCCCTGACCAGGAATTGAACCAGCAACACTTTGGTTCACAGGCCAGTGTTCAATCCATTGAGCCACACCAGCCAGGGCAGGGCAGACATCAGAATTTCTTACTGTATGATGTGTCAGCTCACATCCTCTGTGTGTGTGTGTGTGTTTTAAATGAGCTTCCTCTTTAATGATTTGGAACAGTGCCTTATATGGCCTTGGTACCAGTCTTTTGTCAGCTGGGTTGCAAATACTCTTCCATTCCCAGACTTTGCACACCCTTTACGGTGCTTTTGACAGACATTTTAAAATCACGACATGTATCTTTTCTTTTAGAAGTAGAGATTTCTGTAGCTTAAGAAATTCTTCCTGCCCTCCCATTTCAGACCTTTGATCCATCTGGGATTAGTTTGGGGGGTACAGAGTGTGAGGTAAGGATCTGGTTTCAACTCCCATTGAAGATATCCATCCTGTCCTCCTTTTCCCATTTCCTGAAGTCACATATCAAGTGCCCACACATGGATAAGGCTCTTTCCAGGCCCCGTATTCTGTCCTGTTGACCCATTTGACTAGCCCTGCACCAATTACAATACTTAAATCTTGATAACTGGTGGAGCGAATGCTTCTACATTGTTCTTCTTCTTTTAAGCCAATCTTGGTCATACTGTTCATTGTATTTCCATATAAAGCTTAGAATATGCTGGTCAGTTCCATCCAATTTAAAAATAGCTTTTAGTTCTTTGATTGGGATGACACTGAATCTGTAAAGCAGTTTGGAGATCTGACATTCACAACACTAACTCTTCCAATCCATGAATATGGTATATCTTTATACTTATTAAGTTTTTCTTTGATACCCTGCAATAAAATTTACAATTTACTCCATAGAAGTCTTGCATGTCTTTGTTAGATTTCTTCCTAGGTACTTCTTTTGGCTACTACAGATGTCTTTTCTTGGCCCTGGCTGGTGTGGCTCAGTGGATTGAGTGTATGCCTGCAAACCAAAGGGTTGCCAGTTCAATTCTCTGCCAGGGCACATGCCTGGATTGTGGGCCAGGTACCCAGTAGGGGTTGCATGAGAGGCAACCACACATTGATGTTTCTCTCCCTCTCTTTTTCCCTCCCTTCTCCTGTCTCTAAAAATAAATAAAAATAACTATTTTCTTCTCTTTTATTTTCTAATAGTTACTGCTAATACAGAGAAATGTCATTCATTTTGTGTATTAATTTTGTGTCCAGCCACATTATTAAAATATCTCGTGAATTAGAAGTTAGCATTAGATTTTTCTGAATCTTCTATGCATACAAATATACCATCTACAAATACTGACAATTTCATATCTTCTTCTCCAAACTTTAAATTGTTTTTTTTTCTTTTCCTTGCCATATAGCGCTGGATAGGATCTCCAGGACAGTGTTAAATAGAAGTCATGCTGGCAGACATCCTTAAATTGTTACTGATCTCAAAAAGAGTTTTTCCATGTTTCACCATTAAATATGTTTGCTATAGATGCTTTATAGCTGCCCTTTATCAAATTCAGGAAAATTCCTTTCATTCCTGGCTTTCCAAGAGGTTTTATTTATTTATTTACTTTTAGAGAAGAGAAAGGAAAGAGAAAGAGAGGGAGAGAAACATCAGTGTGTGGTTGCCTCTCACACACTACCCACTGGGGACCTGGCCTACAACCCAGGCATATGCTTTGACTGGGAATAGAACTGGCGACCCTTTGGTTTGCAGGCCGGTGCTTAATGCACTGAGCCACACCAGCCAGGGCTCTACAAGTTTTTAACATGAATGGAGATGCTGAATTTTATCAAATAATTATTTATATCTACATAGACCAGTACTATGAACTGGTACAAATCCAAGGACTATCTGTCATCAGTCTCCAATGTGATAGGTTCAAAAAATAAAAGAAAGCATGTAGAAAGTGGTTTTGGGTTCTGTTGAATTCACGTGTCAAGTTCATACAAGACACAAGTTTTGAAAAACACCATGCTCAACTCTACATTTTCCTTTGCCATGATATGTCTGTTCTGCTCTCTTGTTTGTGAGCATTTTCACTGAATATAGAATTCTAAGTTGACAGCTTTCCCTGTTTTGAATTTTCGGGCATCTGTGGATTTGTTCTTTAGCTGGTTCTGGAATATCCTCAGATATTATCTTGTCACACATTACCCCTGCCCCATTCTCTTTCTTTTCCTCTTAAATTCTTATTAAACATAATCCCTGGCTGGTGTGGCTCAGTGGATTGACTGCCAGCCTGCAAACCAAAGGGTCACTGGTTTGATTCCCAGTCAGGACACATGCCTGGGTTGCGAGCCAGGACCCCAGTAGGGGGCACATGAGAGGCAACCACACACTGATATTTCTCTCCCTCTCTTTTCCCCTCCCTTCCCTTCTCTCTAAAAGTAAATAAAATCTTTTTTTAAAAAATTAATATTAGACATATATTTAACCTCACTATATCTGCAATGTTTCTTAACCATCCTTCCCATTTTTTTTTTTGTCCCTCTGTGCTGAATTCTGGGTGAGTTTTTCTGAGCAAACTTTTTTTCAGCTTTTATTTGGCTTATTGTCTGTCTCTCCAGTAGAATAAACTACACGAGAGCAGGTCCCTTGCCTGTTTTGATGGCTGCTGTGTCCTCAAAACCTAGAACACTGCCCGGCACTTAGTAATAAGCACTTAATAAATATTTGATAAGTAAGTGAATGTCACCAAATAACTGCATTCTTCCTTGGCCCTGTCGGGAAGTTTACAGAGCTCTCTTCCAGGGACCCTTCCTCCCACTTGGTTTATAATTCTCCATAATCAAGTTTGTTAGGGCAAAAGAGTCCACGGGAACAAGATAATGAAGTCATCTCACTTGGGGCCAACTCTACTGCATTTCCTCATGGAGGACTAAGGAAAACTAAATCAAGCAGCCAACCCACGAAGCCACTGTACTGCTAGGAAACAGCCAAAAGTCTGGTGTGTGTGAATCAAGATTCTGCTTCCAAAGGGCAGTTCAGGGTGATATTGAGAGCTGGGCAAACTGATGGATTGGACATCGAAGGTAATAACTATAGACCATGCAATAGACAGAACAATGCCCCCCCCCCTGCCGCAAAGATGTTCACATCCTAATCCCTGGAACCTGTACATATGTGACCTTAAATGGCAAAAAAAAAAAAAAAAGGACTTTGCAGATATAATAAATTAAGGATGTTGAGATGATGAGATTATCCTGGACTATCTGGGTGGGCCTAATATAATCACAAGCATCTTTATAAGTGAAAGAAGAACCAAATCAGAAAAGAGGAGATGATGAAAGCAGCCATCAGAGTGATGAAGCATAAGAAGAACTCAGCTAGTCACAGACAGCTTAGAAGGTCAAGGAGCCCCAAGTCCAGGGAGCAGGTGGCCTCTCCAGGAGCTGGAAAGAAGCCGGGAAATCCATCCTCCCCTGAGGCCTCCAGAGGGGGAGAAACTGGTCTTACCCCAGTGAGACCCATTTTGGATTTCCTCCAGCACCCCGAGATGATTAATGTGCATTATCTTAAGCCATCCCGCCAATGATCATTTGTCATAGCAGCAGCAGGAAACTAATACAGACCACGAAGATGTGTGTGTTTCAAACTCCTGTTTGTGATTCCAGTGTGTGTAAGAAATCACTTGGTCTGGGCAAGCAACTTTTTTGGAATGAAAAGGAGCAAAGAAAATAACAATGAATCCCACATAGACACAAGTACAATTTGATGAAACCTTTGTTTCAGGGAGACATGTATGTGCATGTGCTTATATCCATAGGCATCTGTGTGTGTGTCAGCAGTGGTGGCCATAAAAACTTGAAAGAACACTGGCGTAGAAAAGTCCCAAGGTCGAATAGTGAGCAGGTGGGATGAGACACCTGTCTAGACCCTGCTTCGTTGCCAGCATCCTCTTTTTGCAGATGAAGGAACCAGGGTCCAGAGAGGCAAAGACTTGCCTGTGGTCATGCAACACTGACGAGGCCGGGACCAGGATGCTAAGACAGGTTGCACAAACTACAGAAGGGGAACCTTTCCCCTTAACCACACCAGCCCCATGAACATGCGACACTGTGCCCGTCACTAAACACCTGGACTCTCCCTCCCACTGGAGCCTGAGTGCCACTCTGCCACACATGCTTTCAATAACCCCATTTTTCAGACAAGGAAGCTGAGGCTCAAAGTGGTTGAGATAGTTGCTGTAAACTGGATCCACAGAGTCTGGTCTGAGAACCCACCTGCCTGTCCAGGGCTCGGGTCTGCTCCTGCAGCTCCTTGATCTCGGCCTGCACCTGGGCCCGGCACTTCAGCAGGTGGCCCATGTTCTCCAGCCTCTCATTGTCCCTCAGGCGCTTGACCTGGTTCTGGGCAATGCCGATCTGAACCTGAAGTTCATCCCGCACGTTCTGTAGGCGCTGGATTTCTGCACTGTGCAGGGAGGGAGATGGAGGGGAAGCCGGCCAGGGGCAGAGCTCAGCATCACTGCAGGCTGGATGCACTAGGCCTGCCCCCCACTTCGGACCCAAGGGTCCAGCCCCCAGACCCTTTAACATCCCCTTCTCCAGCTCTGGGATGCAGGCACTTGGCTCACAGTTGCTTATTGACGCGCTGGTTGACTTCCTTGCTGTAGGCCCGCCTTTCACCCTCCATCACTTTGCACCGTCGCTGCAGTCGGCTCAGCTCCCAATCCACTGAGGGAGGGGCCAGGCAAGGGACTCAATAGGAATCCAGGCCCCTCCTCCCGAGAACCTAGGAATCCTGGATCCCTTAGGTTCTCACAAGCTGCAACTGAACCGCAGACCCAGACCCCAACGCCGCTCTAGGACTGCCTCAAGCCTTCACATCCCTTCATACTCCCCTGTACCCCAAGCTGTCCTGGAGACCTTCCCTGCTGAACCCCATCCTTCGCCCTAGTGGGCATACCTCCGTTTTCCCACTAGAGGGCGTATCTGGAAGGCCCGTGGTCCTCTCTGACCCACCGCACAGGACTGGCACTTGGGTGCGTCCTTGCTCCCTCTCTCGCCTCCAGCCCCCACTGCCCAGCCATCCTCAGCCCTCTTCTCCAGGCTCCTCATTCTCGGCCCATCTCCTAGGCTCAGGCCTCATCCTCTCCCGTCTGGACCATTCCCCCAGCCTCCTCCGAGCCCCAGGGGGCATTCTAACACCCAGAATGAACCCCGCCCCTTCCCTGCACACAGGCCTGCGCTGATGCTCCAGCGCCCTTAGGACAAAATCCCAGCCCCTCAGCCTGGTGTTCAAGGCCCCCTGTGACCTGGTCCTGCCCACCTCTCCAAGTCTCCACCACCAGCTTGTCACCTCCCACCACCCAGTGGTTCTCAACCTGGAGCGATTCTACCCTCCACGGACACTTGGCAATGTCTGGAGACATTTTTGGATTGTCATGATGTGGGTGCACGTGGCGGGGGGGGGGGGCGTGCAGTGGGTGCTACTGGCAAGTAGTGGGTAGAGAGGCAAGGGATGCTGTTCAGCATCCTACAGGGGACAGCCCCCACAGCAAAGGATTCCCTGACCCCAAACGTCAGCAGTGCAGAGGCTGAGAAACCCTGCTCTAGCCACATGCTTGTTGTTCTTTCTGCTGCAATTCTTCCTTCCTTCTACGCCTAGTAATTCCGAGGAGCCTCGGGCCCCTCTCAAACCTCGTCTCCTGCAGGAAGCCTTCCTGGCCCGCCCCAACAGCTCCACCTGTGATCCCCCACTAAAGGGCTCTCTCCTGGGAGGTCTCCCTGTCCCCAGGGCCCTGCAACACAGAACCTGGAACTTGGGAAAACTGAGGAAAAGAATGAGTGAAATAAAGACCATATGAATTACCTATTCCCTCCAGAAAGAACTCGCTTCCATCCTCGGAGCGGGTGCTCCCAGCAGAAAGTCCGAAAGGCATGTTAGCCAAAGAGGGTGGGACTCCTGCAGAGGTGACAGGGGCCCCTTCAGACAACGAGCGGGAGAGGACGGGGAGGACGTGAGCAATGAAGAGCGAGGGACTAGCAATTGGAAGGGGACCCCGGAACCAGCTCTAACCTCTGACTCTCCATTCCTGTCCTCTCCGCACCCTCCTCCCGCCCTCCTGCCTCTCCCACTCTCTGCCTCGCATTGCAGCTCGGACTCTGGAGCCAGGTACAGACCCCCGAGGCTCCCGGTATTTTTGAGGCTGGCTGTTTGGGACAGGGATCACAGAGGAAGAGCGAACCCCAGGCCCGCTGTGCCGAGTGAGGCCCAGTCCCTACCTGTTGGAGTGCCTGACCTGTCCTAGGTGCTCTTAGCTCATTGTTGTGGTCTGGTTACTGGGGAGATAAGGGGCCAATGAGGACGGAGGACAGCGGCCGGGGAGGGACCGAGACCGTGAGCAGAGGCCACGGGAGGGGAAGCTGGAAGGAGTGGCGGGAGGAAGTGGCGAGAAGACCTGCTGGGGTCTCAGGAGCTTTGAACCCGAGCCCCGCGAGGAGCGGAGCCGGGAGGTGTTGGGGGGCAGGGCTGGGAAGGTCCGCGAGGGTTGAGGTTGTGAGGTGGAGCCGCAGATGCCTGGAAGGCCCGGGTTGCTGTGGACGCAAGGGGAGGAGCAAGGGTACAGGAGAAGGGCGTGGCCTCAGCGCAGGCTGGGGGCGTGGCTAAAAGAACCCATGACTACCCCGGTGGGAGGGCGCTGAAAGGGCTCGGGTTTCCCGAGACCTGGGGTTCGGGGCTAGCCAGGCGGCACTCTGACTGGAGGGGCCTGCGGGTGGTCTCAATAACCTGTCTGGGCGGGGCGGGCTGTGAGTATCCGGTAGTGGGGGCGAGGCAGGAGCTGGGAGACCCTGTGACTGCAAGCCTGAAGGGAAACCTCTGGAAGGCTCTGGGGCTACGCCGAGACCTTCGGGACCTGCCCGAGAGAGAAGCGTGTCTTAAGCTCGTTAAGACCACGTTATTTTCAGGATTCGTTATCAGGGAGGCAGTACCAACGCCAGGAGTACTGAGGAGAAGGGGCGCTCACCACCACCTTAGGGCCTCGCAGCGGCTCCCTGCGCATGCGCGGCTAACGGCCTCCAGAGAAGCGGCAAAAAGACCTTTGCTGTCCAGTCTACGCACTGAGAGGCGGGAGTGGGCGTGGCCTGGGGGTATTCCGCGCCACGCCCCCACGAGGCCACACCCAGAGCCGCGGGGCACGCCCCCTCAGCGGTCTGTGGCTACCCACGTGGGTCTCCCCAAAGCGGGCGGGCAGTGGGCGACGCTCTCTACAGGCTGGGTGTGCCTGCCGCCTGCGGTTTCCTGTGGGAGGAAGCGGCTCGCGGGCACTCAGCTCAGCTCTAGCTTTGGAGGCCCAGGATGGGGAGCTCTCTCCACCGCTCTCAGATCTTCTGATTCTTCCCCTTTTACGGAGTCCTAGCATGGGGGACCCCCTGAACATCCCCAGCATACTCAAGTACGGCGCTGATACCACTCAGAGAACCTGATTCCGAGCTCTAGTCCCCTGTTCTACACCTCACCCGCTCAAATTTTCATCTCCCTAAGTCTTGGTTCCTAGACTCCTCCCCAGACCAGAGCTGTCCCTTTGGCCCCCTTTGCCAGCGCTCCCTGAAAACCAGGTGACCCTCTAGCCTAGGGGGTCACCTAAGGGGGACAGACCTAATCTGTCCCTCAGTAACCCAGACGTTCTAACTTGCTTGACTTCAGTGTCTTGCAGGACAGAAACTGAGTTCAGACCCCCAGTTTCTGTCCTTTTCAAAGACCTCAGTTTGAGACCGCCTACCTATTTCCTAACCCCAGTGTGGGGTAGCTCACTACATGCCGCCTTTGGGAATGGATTGTAACTTCCTCCTTAACTCGTTTTGTGCGGGACTTCTTGTCTTGTGACTGGTTCTTGCTGTATGTACACAACCGAGGTAATGTAGCTCTGGGCCACGCGTAGGTTTGTGCAGCCTGGTCCAGGCCTACCTTTGCCTGGGACCCCTTATAATGAGCCTCAGACTGGAGGAGGCGTGGTCTGTCTCACACCTTCGCGCCATTGGTGCACGCCCATGGAATGTGAATGATAAACGGCAGGCCCACATCGGCTAGTCCACTGGGGGACTTTTTTCAGAATATCACGAACACTGAAGCAGCTCCCTGGTTTGGGGTTCCTGTGCTACACCCAGGGACCCTCACTGTGCACTCCAACTTTTTAGGCTTGGGACCCAGTGGATCCGAGAATTTGCCCCTTCCCCAAATTCTCACAACCTTGTTGATCTGGGGTCCCCCAGTACCAAAGCCACTTAGCGCCCCAGTGCCTAGTATAAACTACCACACATAACAGTGCTTATGATGTGCCATCTAAGACCTACCTTATGACGCGTTCACTATTATCCCTATTTTACAGAGAGAAACACTGAGGCATAGAGAGGTTATTAGTACCTTGCCCCAAATCACAGCTGGTGAGTAAAACGTCTAGGATTTGAGGTCAGTGTGTTTGTAGATGGCACCCCAGTTTCCAGGTGCCCCAGTTACCCAGCCAGTCAATGAACTGCCCTCAGGGGGCCCACGTGACCAACCACTCTCCCTCCCCCAGCTATTGCCCCATTAGATCATCCCCCCCTTTCCTTCCCATGCAGGGGAAGGAAATTCCAGCTCAACAGCTCTCAATTCCTTATCAAGGCCCCAGACACCTGTTCCCCTGTCTCTCACTGTCCACCATCACCCAGGCCTTCCAAGTCGTCATCACCCCTCGCCCAAATTCAATAATCCGAGAACTATTGTCAATAATAATCATTACCATTAAGTCCCGGGTACTGCATGTCTGTTAAAAACCCTTGCAAGGACGTCCCATTGCACTTAGAATCAAGCCCAAACTCCTCCCCTGGCCTTCAAGGGCCCTCTTTGATGTCTTTTCCCACCCTCCCTCTCGCTCCCAATATGCCACACACACTGGCCCTTCTGTCTGCTGCGCCCCAAACAGCCCAAGCTTGTTCCCTAGAGCCTTTGCACTTCCACTTGGCCCAGCATTCAAATGACGCCTGTCTGCAGGGAGCAGCTCAAATGTCGCCTCCTCGGAGAGGCCTTGCCTGATTTCCCTGTTTAAAGTAGGTTCCGCCGCACCATCGTTATCTCTGTCACCTCCTGTGTTTCCTTCGCAGCACTTATCACTATCTGAAATTTATCTCTTTTTTTATTGATGTTTTCCCTTTATTGTCCGTCTCCCTCGTGTAGGAAGGTGAGCGTCACAGTAACTGTCAGCTCGAAGTTATTTATTTTTCATTATTAACCCCTGGTTCGTAAAAGATGTTCAATAAATGCTCAATGGAGTAAAGAACGAATGAATGCCTCAGGTGTGCTAATGTACTAGTATGAGCTTAGTTATTTAGAATAAGTATCAGATTTATTATTATCAGAATTCATACATTGTCAGTGTTATTAGTATTATACCCACAGATTAGGAAATTGAGGCTCAGAAAGTTGATATAATTAACCAAGGACCCCCCAGGCAGGAAGTGGTAGCACTGGGATTCTTTTTTTTTTTTTTTAAGATTTTATTTACTTATTTTTAGAGAGGGGGGAAGGGAGAGAGAAAGAGAGAGGGAGAGAAACATCAATGTTTGGTTGCCTCTTGTGTGCCCCCTACTGGGCACCTGGCCTGCAGTTTGACTGGGAATCAAACTGGTGACCCCTTGGTTCACAGTCTGGTGCTCAATCCACTGAGCCACACCAGCCAGGGCAGCACTGGAATTCTTAATTTCCACCTTCTGCCCCCTTCCAGATTTCCTCACTTCCCCATTTTCCATCCCCGACCCCCACCATGGTGCCAACTCCCCCACCCCTCAGCCCACTCAGCACTGCAGGAATCTGGCCTCCTCCCTAGAATTCCCATCCTCTGAGTATCCAGTTCTAAGCCCCATCAAGGAAAGCAGACATGGGTCCCAAGTCCCAGGTTCCAGGTTCCAACAAGACCCAGAGTGGAGACCTGAGAAGGCCTGAGAATCGGGCCTTCCCAGCCCCAGCTGCTTGCCCCACTCCAGGCCTCCAGCTCCGCTCCGCTCTGCTCTGCTCTTCTCCCTCCAAGGACTTTTCATCTCAACCCCAGGAGGAAGCCCCAAAAGATGTGCGTCTGGGGCAGTGGGCGGGGCTCAGAGAATGAAGAACCCGAGTCCCTAGGCCCTCCCCTCTGGCTGGGTGCGGTGAGGGTGGGTATAAAAGGGTCAGTATATATTGACAGGAGCAGAGGAAGAGAAAGCGGGAGAGTGTAGAGAGAGAAGGAAGGAGGTTTAGGCAAGGGAGGACGAGAGAGAGAGAGAGAGAGAGAGAGAGAGAGAGATCTGTTATTGGAGGGAAAAAGGACGGAGAGAGCCAGAAGGGAGAGCGCGGGAGGGAGGCAGGCGGCGAGGGAGGCGGGGGCCTCCGGAGAGTGGAAGGAGGGAGGAGAAGGGCGGGGCACGGAGGCCCAAGCGAGGGACAAACTCCAGTTCTGACTTTTTCCGCCGCTCTCGGTAAGTTTCCAGTCCGTTATCCGGACTGGAATTTTTTAAATTTACTTGGGAGTGCAGCTGTTTGGGAAGGACACCCTCATGGATATCCTTGTCATTTCAGAAGTGATCTCTTAGCCCTTGGGGTGGGGACTCAGGAAGGGGTGGGGCCCGCCAAGGTTTGGGGGCTCCCGGCAGAGCCCTCCTCCTGAAAATATCCTATACTTTTTCCCTACTGCTGCCCACTCTCCCCCCCGAGGACCCTGAGGTCAGGGCTTTGCACGGGAACACCCCACGTCTGGGCAACCTCCAGGCCCCCTCCCCTTTCTGGACACTGCAGAGGGGGGGCTGGTTCCTTCTTCTCAGGCCTCTCTCCCCCCAAAGCGGATCCTGTCCATTTTTCCAACAAGGTGCCCAGCAGGCACCAGTCTGGCAGCAGGGTGGGGTGGGAGCGTCGTGGGCTGCAGGGCTGGGGTTTCCCTGGTACTCGGAGGCAGGAGGGTCGGATGAGTCACCCATGACTCACCCGGAACCCCTCCTCCCCCCCACCCCAGGAGGGGGGTGGAGTGAGTCAAGGACGCCTGTCTGTCTCTTGGGGCAGCCCACAGCTTCCGATAAACCTGGAGGGGTTTCCACTGGAGTGTTCATATCCTGATCCATGTGCACCCGGGGAAAGGGCTCTGAGGACATGGTGGGGGGATCACATCGCTAGTTCTACTCATTTCTGGACGCACGAGGCCATCCCTGGCCCTCTCCAGCCCCTGGGGAACTCAGGAGTCCGGCCGCAGCCTCCTTTGCCCTCAGAACCAGGAGTCTGGAATCAGCTCCTTTCTCCTCGAAGATCTGGGCATTTCACCCTTCCCTGTGCCAACCTCTTGCAACGACCATCTCCTGTCACGTCCCCTTACCCCCAGGCTTCCACCGCAGCCATGTCACTCCTCCTGCTGGTGGTCTCTGCCCTTCACATCCTCATTCTCATCCTGCTCTTCGTGGCCACTTTGGACAAGGTAAGCCTACTCCGCGCCGCCGCCCCGACGACGGCAGCGGGGCCTCCCGCTCTCCTGCAGACTCCCGCCACGCCCCTCCTCCAAAGGCACTGCGCCCCGCCCCTTTTCCCTAGCTCACGCCTCCGTTGCCTCCACCCCACCTTTTCTCCAGACACCACACCCCTTTTTTAACCCTTCCCACAGGCTTTCTGACCCCTCCCACTTTCCTTTCCTGTCCCTGTCCTTGTTTCTCTGCCCATCCAGTCCTGGTGGACCCTCCCCGGCAATGGATCCTTGAATCTCTGGTATGACTGCACGCGGATCAATGACAACGAAACGTGGGCCTGCAGTACTGTCAGCGAGAATGGTGAGGTGCAGCGAGGACTGGTCCTCAAAGGGGAGGGGTAACCCCCAGTCTCTTCCGGAGACCCAGGATTGGGAACCCGCCATGGTTTGATGGGGTGGGGCTGGGTCTCAGCGCAGAGTGAGTGAGTCCGATGTTTAAACTGCTTATCTCAGTAGTAGGGGGCAATCTGCTCGGGTTCCAAAGAGGATGAGCTAGAAGTCCCCCGTGCCGATGATTCAGAAAGACTGGAGGCCAAATGCTGTAGGTCTAAAGAGGTGGGGCTGAACCCTTCCAAGGTTCTAAAGGAGGGGGGAGTGGCAGGTACATATGAGTCCTAAAGAGGCCCAGTTGCATCCATGAAAATTTCTATGTCAAAGAAGGTGAAAGATGAAATGTATTTCCCCTAAAAGTAAAAGCAAGAATTTCCGTTCTCACACCTTATATCCAGTGTTGTACTGGAGGCAGCCAATGCAACAAGGCAAGAAAAAGAAATAAAAGGCCTACAGGTGGAAAAGAAAGAAGTAGGAATGTCTCTGTTCCCAGTAAACATTTTTCTGTAGAAAATCCTAAAAACTGCAAAGCAGCTTCTACAACAAATAAAGAAATAAAGTGACGGGAATCAAGATCGATAACGTGATACTCCTAAGTATCCAAAGTTGTATGGCTCTAAACTGGGGGTTGGGGGCAGGGCGCTGGTTGCAGGTGATGACCAAGGGGGCGGAGCTGGAACTCTGGACCTGCTCTGATTTCCACCCCATCTCCTCCTCACCACAGGCTGGCTGAAGGCAGTGCAGGTCCTCATGGTGCTGTCCCTCATCCTCTGTTGTCTGTCCTTCATCCTGTTTATGTTCCAACTCTACACCATGCGGCGAGGAGGACTCTTCTATGCTACTGGCTTCTGCCAGCTTTGCACCAGTGAGTGCTGTTTCCTGGGAACTGAAGGGAAGGGAGGGGGGGCCAAGAGGATGCTGGGGGCCCCGAGAATGGACACCTGGTAAAAGGAAACAATTCTCAACAGCCCAAGAATCACCTGAGGTGCCTTTGTGGCACTTCTCTGCCCCCAGGGACTTACAGGACTTGTAGCCTTCAGTGACTTTGGGTCTCTGAGTTGGAGGGGGGGGGGTGGCACTTGGGGCTTCTAGGAGCCAGAGCTGAGAAAGGTGGTAAATAATTTAAATCCCTGGGACAGGGGTTGGGGAAGAACAGGGATAGGTCACTAATTAATACCCCAGAATTGAATCATAAAAGTAGTGATCTTCTCATGATATGCTGTTTCTGATGAACCTACCCTGTATCAGACACTTCAAGGACTTTTATGTACTTTTCAGTTGTTGGACTTCAGGTGCAAGGGCTGTTAATCATAGTCCTTGGTTTGGAGAACATTAGCTTCCTTAGCTCCTGCAAAGCCCTTCTCTTATTTTATTAATTCACTCTTTGCGTCCTTGAATGGTAGAAAGACACTCACATATATCCCTTGAAAGGATGGATGAGTAGATATTATCGTCCCTTTTTATGGATGAGTAAAGGGGACCCAGAGACTAAAGTGCCCAAGACCAGTCTGCAGTAGCCTGTTTGCACAGCCTAGGGGGAGCAAACCACAACTCCCAGTATGTAGCGGTGCTGCCCACTTGCCCTCTGGAGGCTTCTTTGCCCCGTGGATTGCTGGGAAATGCAGTCTTCCTGAAGGTAGGGCGTGACACTTGGTTCCCCTCTCTCCACAGGCCTGGCAGTGTTCACCGGGGCGCTGATCTACGCCATTCATGCCAAGGAGATCCTAGCAAAGTATCCGTCTGGGGGCAGCTTTGGTTACTGCTTTGCCCTGGCTTGGGTGGCCTTCCCCCTCGCCCTGGCCAGCGGCCTCATCTACATCCACCTGCGGAAGCGGGAGTGAGCGCCGCCGCCCGTTCACCTTGTGGCCCCAGCTAGTTCCAGCCCCTTTGCCTCACCCCGCCTCCAGAAAATAAAACTGTTTGTTTAACCGCCAGCTCCGCCTTTGCTTACTTCCTTCCTTGCTTCTTTCCTTCCTCTTCTAGCGACCTGGACTGCTCCTGCCTGATCTCTCCAGTACCTGGGAGCACCTCCTGGCCCCAGCAGTGAGGCCTCAGACTGTCCAGCTCCGGGCCCCCCAGGTCCTTCTAAGCTTGGGCACAGGAGCCTGGGGTCCAGAGACCATGGGCCCTTCCATCCGGAGTCTCGGGACTCCTCCGGAGTGGAAGCTTTCAGGCGCTTCTAGGGAAGAACAAGGAAGCTGGATTCCCTCCCAGTCTCCACTTTCTTTGTGCAAGGGTCTCTCACTCAGCCAGGGAGGGCGCGTGTGTTGTTCTGGATTGTTGGTCCTCTTTTTTTCTCACCCACTCAGACCTGCCGCTGGGAAGACACTTTTCCACTTCCCTCCTAGATCATTCTCTCCTTCCATCCTTGCGACCCAAAGTCGCTTCTTTCCCCTCCTCCCCAAATGCTGCCTCCCCCCCCCCATTTGACCCTGCAGTAAAAATGAAACGGCACCCTTCCTCTCCAGGCTTACCCAACCCCACGAGAGGACACAGGTCGGGATGGGGGGGTGCATTCTGCACTCATCCATTCGTGGCCCTGTGCCTCTGCGCTGGGGACAGCCCCCCCCCAAACTGCGCATGCGTGGCCTCCCTACCTCCTGTGTTCAAAAGACCTAGTCTTCCAAAATCAAAACAAAACAAAAACTAGCCTGAGGAACTAGCGCCTCTCCTCAGGAATTGGGTCCTCTCTACAGCCCTCCTCTGTGACCCACCGCCAGTGTATTTCACCAACCACAAGCCCAGTCTCTCTAGGATTATAGCTTTCTCTGCCTGGGTGTGTGTGTCCCCCCGCACCCCACACCACCCCCACCCCCCACAACATAAGCATTTCCCCCAAGACCCAATCTCCTCTCCAGGATTCTGATCTCTTTCTCTACAGCCCTGCACACTACACCACTCAACCAGATTATTGAACATAATTTATTCCTTTGGGAGAGGCGGAAATTGATAGACCAATAAATATTGCACAGGCCACTGGTGGAGGGGAAGATCCAGACTGAGGTAGTTTCTGTGGAGAGGGCGAGAGACCGGGGCAGGGAAGGCACCTGAGGTTGTTGGGCCGGAACTGCAAGTGTACCTTGGGGTGAAGATGATTCCTCCGGGCCCCCAGTTCCTGCTGGCACAAGGCTCCCACCTCCTTCAGCCTGGACAAGCTGGTCAGCGGTTGACCAGATGGCCTGCCTTATAAATCGTGGCAGTCGATGAATCATGGTTCCTTCTGCGATTCTGATTGGCTGCCTCTGTGCAGCAACAACAGGCCGCCCAAAGTTGAGAGAGCCCGCAGGCTGTCCCTAGCAGTTTGGTTTTCATTGGCTGTGTGGCCTGGGGCTCTGCCTTGGTGAACATGATGGGCAATTTGCCCAGAACAGGCTAAAAAGACAATGATAGATGGCCTCGGGAGGGCGCAGCCTCACAACTGCACCGGGTGGTTGGTAGTGTTGAACAGCTGTGATTGGCTGACGCTCCCTCCTCAGCCGAACCAGAGGGGGTGGGACTCGGAGATGGAATAGCAGCAGAACCAAAAAGCTTTGATGGGCTGCGCAGTCAGAAGAGCAAGGCTAGCAAATGTAGGCTGCCTTAACTGGGGGCTTTAGGAAGAAAGTGCAACATGACTGCCTGTGGCTGGAAATTGGGGAGCTGCAAAGCACAGTGGTTGTGACTGACAGCTGGTCATGGAGGAGGCGGGGCTTAGTTTCCAACCAGGTGGCTGGGCGGGGTAGGGCAGAGAGAGGCTTCTGTCAGGGGTTACCACCTCCGGGCACCACCTGGGGGTGCGTTACTGTACCCAACGAGTCTAGTTTCGGGAAACCCGCGGGCGGGTACTTCTCGGTGCCGGGAGTTAGGGCTTGCAGGTGGCCCAGAGCCCGAGTTCCGTTGAAGGTCACCTCACAGCCAGATTGGGCCAGGAGCCAATTCTCCACCTCTGACTGGAGCCACTGGGAGGTCTCTGCAGGGGGAGAGGCAGGTGTTGTAAGGAGGGCAGAGGGGCAAGCCCTGGGAAGCTCGGCTCTGAGGCTCTCATGTGGGGACAAGCCAGGAAAGCGTTTTCTGTTGGAAAGGACCACCGGGAGTTTACACAGGGAAGGGACAAGAGTCTCCTGTAGGGAAAGTGTGGGCTCCTATAGGAAGGATCAAGCAGCAAATGGGGCGCAGAGGCTGCTTGCCACACTGGCATCTGGTCCAAGTCCCCACCTCAGGCTGAGGCCAGGAGAGGGAGGTCACCCCGGGGAAAAACTACATCCATCAAGATCATAAGCTGCATTCAGGGGTCCCCTCTGCTGAGGGCTGGGATCATCCTGGAATAGGTCAGGTTCACCACTGGGAGCAGGGAGTAGGGGGTGAGCAGGATGGGGATGATGTCTCACTGGGGCAGGGATTTTTGGGATTGAGGGGAGTCTTAACCCTGGTAGGAGCCTGGCTAAAATGGGGCGAGGCGGGGCCACATAGGGGCAGGGCGGGGCCTCGAAGGACGGGGCTCCCTAGCCTTCCGTAGGTAGGAGGGGGCGTATCCCAAGGTAGGGTCCTACCTTCTGGCGGGCCGCCAGCGCCCCCTGGCCGCCGGGTCAGGAAGCTGTGCGCCAGCAGAGCCTCCTTGGCATGCTCGTCCTGCGCGCGCAGGGCCAGGGCGCTGAGCAGCTCTGAGTTGTTGGACGTGCTGCGGTAGTAGAGCATGTGCGCCAGCTCCAGCGCCTGCACACTGCGCTGCTGTCCGAACATCTGCGGGTGGGACAGCGGCAGCTTGGCCACCCGGAGGGGCAGGGCTGTGCTCGGGCCCCATACACACCCCCCTCAGTCACACACGCTGGAAGGGCCCCTTCCGCGGACTCCCGGGGCCTCCCCAGACCTCCCCAGACCTCTTGGGTTCAGGTCCCCAGGGTTGGCGTCCAGCTATTTGTATTTTTAACCCACCTGCTCCTGCGCCAGAGACTCTGAGATCACTAACAATATCGTGCAACCCATGCGCATAAATGGATTTGTTCAAGGATTTCCAGACTATACAAGCTTTAGTCTTGGAACTTCTAGTTACAATTAAAGTCCTAATCTTTTAGACGCATACTACTAAAGTATTTGCAGATGATATGTCTAGGATTTGCTACAAATAATTAGGTAATAAGAGAGCGGGAGTCTTCAGAAATACCATCGACTGTTGCTGATTGTGGATGCTGGATGCTGGTGACCTGGGAGCTCACAATACTGCTCTATTTCTGCATTTTAAAAAGCTCTGCCATAATAAAAAAAAGACCTAAAATAATAAACTGTAAAGAGAAGTGCTGAAAAAAATACACTATATATGCATTTTTGCCATGTATAATGCCTTTTTTTTGCCCAAATTTTTGAGAGAAAAATAAGGTTGCACATTACACATGGGTAGTACTAATTCTGTATCTATATAAATCATTTTAATTCTTTTATTTATGCTCATGCATTAAAAGTATAATTCCTTTAAAATTCTCCTTTTTAAAAGATTCAATTTATCCACTTTTAGAACGAGAGGAAGGGAGGGAGAAAGAGAGGGAGAGAAGCATCAATGTGTGGTTGCCTCTCATGTGACCTCCGCCTCACCTGGACTCCATTCCCCATTCTTGGGGTCCCTAAGAAGGGGAATGAGAGCCCACCTGTGCCCTCTGGGGCTCACACTAAAAACCTGCACCCAAATTCCTCCATATCCACAAAATAAGCTCAAGGCTGCTGGGTCCTGCCCCCGCAGGCCTGGAAGTGAGTCCCAACTCCGCCCCCTACCGGCTGTGAATCAGCGGCTACGATCTTAAACCCTTGGGTAGCACTGTCTGTGAAATGAATGACGCAGATGACAGGAAGTGCTCCGGAAGTTGATAAACGATTAATGAAACCCTTGGCACAGAGCCCGGACCCTACCACACCCAGGCTGGGGGCTGCCTTTTAAATACAAGTGTTTCCTGCCCCAGAGCTTCGTCCATCTCACATGGAGAACGAGGCAAATAAAATGCCTCAAGTCAACACATCCCTGGAAAGCCGCAGACCCGCCCTGCATGGCACAGGCGGCACAGCTCTGTGCAGTGGCTGTCTCCAAAAGCCCAGCGCAGTGGGTGTATCCCTGCATCGGAATGAATCGCCATCCCTAGGCGAGATGCAGGGATCACATGTGCTGGGGACCGTCTGTGATGAAAATACACTGGGCTCCGCGCCTGTCCCTGCCGGGCTGCTGGTGCCAAGTTCTCAAGGGCTGAACGAGCAGGTCATGCCACTCTAGGGCACACCGATGAGATCAGGCCTCTCCCTGGAGGTCTGCCTCCTGCCACCGGCAAGCTCCCTTCAACGCTCAACGGCCCACCCCGAGTGCAGGGTCTCCCTCATCTAACCCCCAGCCCACTCCCCTCTCCTCCCCTGGGGTCCGTATCTGGGGCAACCCAACCATCTACTCAGCCATAGGCCCGACCCTGGCACTGTCCTCACCGCCTCATACACACCAGCCTGTCTGTCTGTCAGTCCCCAGCCTGGTCCTCCTGTCCTAACACTCTCTGCTGTCCCCTCCTCTCCAGCCTGCCTAGTGCATCTCTCCAGCTCCTGTACCCCCACCCCGACCTCAGTCTCCCCAGTCCAGTCTGTCCCTGCACAGCCCGAGGGGACCCTGCTCCTCCCCTGCTTGGAGCACCTCCCCCGGCTCCCAGGGGCCCTCGGAGAGTCCCTGCTCCTTGGCCTGGCCCCTGAGGATTTCCCCCACTGGCCTCCCACACCTTCCTTCTGAATGCAGCCGTGGTGGACACACCAATCCACCCTGAACATCACCCCGAGCACACTCTGCTCCCAGGCCTCTGGGCCGTTCCCAGAAAACTCACTGCCTCGTCGTCAAGGTTCAGGATGGACATCGCTTCCCACACATGAGCAGCTGTGTCCTTGGGTTTCTGAAGTGCCCACTGCACTGACCTCCGTTAGGTAGGTGGCAGTCTGTCTGTGCCCTGCACCGCTCCCTCTGGGGCAGCACCAGCCCTGATGTGTCTCTGGGGCATCCCCCCCGCCCAGGGCCTGCTCTGTGCGGGGGCGGGGGGCAGGGGGGCTGAGGAGACCCACAGTGAACCAGGGTAGGGCGGCACCCACAGACGCACCACCCCTGCCAGCGAAGTCTAGGGAGGCTTTCCGGAGCGGGTGGGCAGGGTTGGTCTGCTCAGTAAGGGGGAAAGGACATCTGTGCAGGAGGAACGGCACATGCGAAGGGAGAGAAGGGAAGGGAAGTGGAGGGAAGAGGCGCTGCCGGTATGTTCTGGTGGAGATGAAGCATCAAACTGTGTTGGAGGGAGTTGGGGACACAGGGTCTTTGATGCCAGGCTGTGAGCATGGGAGCAGGGCCAGCCTGGGGCCATCGGACTGGCCCGAGGGGACCACCGGGGAGGCTGGAAGGAGGGTCTGAGCTGGGGCTGGAACAGAGGGGAGGAGGCTGCACAGAGACTCAGAGAGCTGCAAGGACAGGCTGGGGACTGACGGACTTGGGGGCAGGGCGAGGGCCGCTTCCAGGGGTCCAGCAGGTGAGTGGGGGGACGACAGGTGGAGAACCAGGAGGAGGAGCGCATGGAGGGGAGACGCTGTGCTCCGCCTGGCCAGGTCGGCTGCTCCGGGCTGAGCACAGAGCACCCCGATCTAGAGAGGCTTGGGGGGACCACAGAAGTGGGTGAGCTCTTTGAGGACAAAGAGGGGCGCACACCCTTCAGCAAAAATGACCCCCCAGGCATCTGATCTGAGTCCCGGTCCCGGGTGGGAAATCCAGAGAAGAAGGGGGCTCGGGGAGGATGGAGGCGGAGCCCAGTGGGGATGCCTGGGCAGGTGTGGGCGTGCCCGGGGGGCAGGTGGGACTTGGGGACCGGGAGAAGGGCCTGCAGTGGAGACAGCCATCTAGGAGTGCCATGCAGGCGGGAACAAGCGCACAGAGAGGGGACGGTTGGAGGAGGCTGGGGAGGGCCCACACTCACAGCTCGGAGGCTCAGCTGGGGGCGTGGGAAAACGTTTAACGATGGCACTAAATGAACTTGTGAACTGGGTTTTAAACTGGACCCTTCAAAGCCTGAGGGTCAGGCATCTCTCATGCTCACAACCCTTCCACGGGTCCCACCGCCCGGAAGATGAAGCCCAGGGCCCTAGCTTGGCATGCGAGGCCTCTGCCACTCCTCTGGGGCCTCATGTCACCCTGCACGCCCACCCCAGCCCTGCAAGTTCCCCCAAGCCATGCCCCCCAAGCTGTGCTCCTCCCGCCCCTCCTCCACCAGGCTCCCAGTCCTCTGTTTCAAAGCTCTCCTCAACTGCGCCTGATCCCTGGTGTCAGGCATTGCTCCCTGCGCCCTTCCCCAGCCCTTCCCCCTCTCCGCCAGCAGAGCCTGGCTGTTATCTGCGGAATTTATTGCCAGTCTTCCTAACAGCCGCTGGGATGGCTGAAAACAGCTTGCAAACCAATGAAGCAGCGAGTGAACGATGGAGTACAACAGACGCCCCGCGTCAGTCCACACTCCCGGGACCAGTGCCAGACCTGGGGGGAACCAGCACAAGGCAGCCCCTGGGGGCCGGCGGGGCATGGAGACCGAGCACGTGGCTAGGTCGGCAGAGCACAGGCTGGGCGCTGGCCCCCGCCGTCCCCTGCCGTGAACCCTTAGATAGTGAACAACCTTTACAGTTGCAGGAGCCTGCCCTGCACTCCCACGGGGTAGAATCAAGAAGGAGGCGTGTTAAAAATCGCTTCCTGGGCCCCAGTCCCAAAGTTTCCAATTCGGCAGATCTGGGCTGTAGCCCGGGACACTGCATTCATAAGTCAGCTCCCCTGGCCCAGGCCGGGTGGCTCAGTTGGTTAGAGCATCATTCTTTTACACCAAGGTTGCAGGTTCGATCCCCGGTCAGGGTGCATACAAGACTCAACCAATGAATGCATCAGTAAGGGGAACAATAACAATAACAACACAATAGCTTCCCTGGTGACGGTGACACTGGGCCATGACGGGGAAGGCCACGCTCAGTGGGCACAATCGCCCAGGTGGTAGTAATCATAATAATGGCAACACCTAACTCTCAAATAGAAACTTCTGTGCTGTCCTGCTCCGTTCTACGCACTGTATGTGGTGATCAACTTAATCCCCACAACAACCCTACGAGTCAGGCCCTGTGGGCAGCCCCACTCTGCAGATGCCAGAACCGAGGCACAGAGAGGTGGAGCATTTTCTTTAAGGCCACACAGCTAGAAGACAGAGGAGCTCAACTCAAACCCAGGCGGTCTGGCTCTAAAACACGCACCCTGCACCCGCCACTGAGCGCCCCTCAAAGCAGGCACCCAGAGTGGCTGTGACCACAAAGGCAGCACCCGCCCCACGAGAGGCGCTGCACCAGGGGCTTTCCATGGGCCGGCTGCTTCGATCTTTGCAGCAAACCTGCGAGGTGAGTCTCTCTACTAGCCCCGTTTTCCAGATGAAGAGACTGAAGCACAGACAGATCAAGGAACCTGGCCAAGGTTGTACTGAATAAGTAAGGGAGGGAGAGAAGGAAAGAAGGTAATGGGAAGAGGGAGGGAGCGAGGGAGGGAAGGTAGGAAGGCCAAAGGAAAGAAGAGGAAAGATGGGAAGGAATGCAGGGGAAACACAGAAGGTGGCCCCCCACCCCCAGCTTACCTTGGAGGCCCGCAGGCCCATGAAGGCAGCGAAGAACAGCAGCAGCAGGGACGTGCCCACCTTGAGGTCCGTGAGCACCACCATGCCCACGTTGACAAACACCGCCACGCCCGAGACCACGAGCGTGAGGTTGAGCAGGGCGCGCTGCAGGGTGGGCGTGCGCACCTTCAGCTCCGGCAGCAGCTGCTCCAGCCCCTCCAAGGGTGTGTCCTTGAAGCTCTTCAGCACCAGATGCCCCCGCTTCGTTCGGGCCGCGAGCACCACCCGCTTGAAGTACCTCCTGATGAATGGAGATGGGGAGCCAGTGTGGTCAGGACAGCCCAGGGTGCCCCCCACCACCACCTCCCCGCACAGCCCCAGGACACTCTCTTTGGCTCTGCAGTCACACGGGCACTTTGAAGGCTGCTCGACAATGGTGGGAGGAAAGGCAGGCATAAGCTACGTGCCCAACATTAGGGGATCGGTCATATCACACAATCCCCTATTACTGGACACATGGGGTGCTTCTGATTTTCTGTACTTGATCAAAGCGGAGCTGAATGAGATTCCTTTGTTTAGTTAATTTTCAAACTCCACTTCTACATATATTTCCGAGAGTCCGCTAGGCGCCGGGGAGGGCCATGAAGCTCTGGAGAGACAACACAATGAATCAATCACTGCCTTTGTGGAGCTTATAGCGCAGCGTGAGAGGCGGGTAATTAAACACAGGCTCTGCAAGTATAAATATCTCCTTGGAAGAGTGTCCTGGAAGTGGAATTACTGGTTTAAGGACTATAAGGGGTTCTTTGTCTTTGGTTTTTGTTTTGGTTTGGATTTTTTGGCTTCGAGACCATATTTGATAAACTGATTTCCAGAAAGACTGGGTGACTGACAGGCCCACTGGCTCTCCTGGCCCTACTCTGCATTTGAATGTCCTCTGTTAAAAATATGACATTTGGTTCTGGCTGGTGTGGCTCAGTGGATTGAGCTCCGGCCTGCAAACCAAAAGGTGGCTGGTTCGATTCCCAGTCAGGGCACATGCCTGGGTTGCAGGCCAGATCCCCAGTTGCGGGAGTGTGAGAGGCAACCGATCAATGTACCTCTCACCCACTGATGTTTCCCTCCCTTTCTTTCTTCCTTTCTTCCCCTCTCTCTGAAAGTAAATAAAGAAAATCTTTTAAAAAAAGATGTTTGCCGCAGCTGGTGTGGCACAGTGGGCTGGGCGTCTTCCCACATACCAAAAGGTCACCCGTTCAATTCCCTGTCAGGGCGCATGCCTGGGTTGTGGGTTTAGTCCCCAGTCGGGGCACATGTGAGAAGCAACCAACTGATGTTTCTCTCTCACATCCATGTTCCTCTCCCTCTCTTTCTCCCTCCCTTGCCCTCTCTCTAAAATAAAAATTTAAAAAAAAAAAAAGGCCCTGGCTGGTGTAGCTCAGTGGATTAAGCGCGGACCTGCAAACCAGAGTATCGCAGTTCGATTCCCAGTCAGGGCACATGCCTGGGTTGTGGGCCAGTTCCCAGCAGGGGTCGCACGAGAGGCAACCATACATTGATATTTCTCTCTCTCTCTCCTTCCCTTCCCCTCTAAAGATAAATAAATTAATTAATTTAAAAACAAAACAAGGACTTCCACCAAGATGGAGGTGTAGGTGGGAACACTTTTCGTCCTCGCACAACAAAATCTAAAAACAACAAAGTTTTAACAACAATAAGCATAACTAAACCACACAGAAAATTGAATACAGAGTCTGGAAACAACGAACCACTCAGCTAAACTGGTGAGAGGGGCGAAACCAGCAGCGGAGCCAGTCCAGCAAAAAAGACCCAGGCGGTGCACAGGCAGCCAGGGGTGCGGATCCCAGGTGCGGGCTAGCTACGGACGGAACCCAGGGAAGGGGCGCTGCTGGCTGTCTGCGGTCGGTCGCACATTTGCACGCAGATAAACCAGTGAAGAGGCGAGAGTTGAGACAGATCTCGCAGGCCCCAGGGACTGGTGCAGGGCAGCAGACTCGCACATTTGCGCTAGGATAAGCAGGCGGGGGCGAGCGGAGAGGACCGCCATTGCTCCCTCTCTGACCCTGCCCCCACATACAGGTCACAACCCAGCGACCTTGGGAAACACCAAGGCACCTCTCCTCGAACATAACAGGCACGAACAGATCAAAATGGCTCAAGGAGATCTCACAGTCCCAGAGCCCATAACTTTAAGTGACGAAGAAATAGCCAAACTTTCAGATGCACAGTTCAATACACTGGTGATCAGGATGCTCACAGAACTGGTTGATTATAGCCACAAATTAGAGGAACATATGAAGGCTAAACTAATTGAAATGAATGGAAATGCACAGGAAACCAATAGTAATGGAAAGGAAACTGAGACTCAAATCAAAGGAGTGGACCAGAAAGAGGAAAAAAATGACCAAACAGAAATGGATGAAGAAACAAGAATTCAAAAAAATGAGGAGAGTCTTAGGAACCTCCAGGACATCTTTAAACGTTCCAACATCCTAATTATAGGGGTACCAGAAGGGGGAAAGGCACAGCCAACAGTGGAAAACTTATTTGAACAAATAATAAAGGAGAATTTCCCCAATCTGGCAAAGGAAATAGACTTCCAGGAAATCCAGGAAGCTCAGAAAGTACCAAAGAAGTTGGACCCAAGAAGAAACACACCAAGGCACATCATCATTACATTAGCCAAGATTAAAATGAAGGAGAGAATCCTAGAAGCAGCAAGAGATAAGGGGACAGTCACCTACAAAGGAGTCCCCATCAGACTGTCAGCAGATTTCTCAAAAGACACCTTACAGGCAAGAAGGGGCTGGAAAGAAGTATTCCAAGTCATGAAAACCAAAGACCTACAACCGAGATTGCTCTATCCAGCAAAGTTTTCATTTAGAATAGAAGGACAGATAAAGTGCTTCTCAGATAAGATCAAAGTCAAGGAGTTCATCATTACCAAGCCCTTATTATATGAAATGTTAAAGGGACTTACCTAAGAAAAAGAAGATAAAAAAGATGAACAGTGAAAGGACAGCAAACTCACAGTTATTAACAACCACACCTAAAACAAAAGCAAACTAAAAGGACAGCTAGATCAGGAGTGAACCATAGAAATGGAGATCATATGAAGGGTTAGCAACAGGGGAGTGGGAGAAGGAGAAGGGGGGAGAAGGTACAGAAAATAAGTAGCATAGACAGTAGATAGAAAATAGGGGGAGGGTAAGAATAGTAGGAGAAATATAGAATCTAAAGAACTTGAGACAAGTGTTCATGAACTAAAGGGGGGAGAATGGTGGAGGAGGGTTGTGCAGGGTGGAGGGGAATGGAGGAGGGGAAATAGAATAATGGTAACAGCATAATCAATAAAAAAATAAAATGTTTTAAAAAGTTACGTTCATCAGAATCCTGGCTGCGCAACTTTTCCAGCATGTGGCCTTTCCCTCTCTGAGCCCAGTTTCCTTCGTTTGGCAAATGGGACACGTGTCCCTTCCTTTTCTCTTCCCCTGGGAATTGTAGTTCCTACTTTCCCTCAGGAAGAAAAAGCAGCGTTTGGATGATACATCCTGCCCCCTTTTCTCGACTTCCCACCGAGGCCCCAGACACCCAGACCCAGGCACTGACCTGCCAGTCCCCTCTTGACTCTAACCTTGCTCCCTCTTGCTGCAGCTGGGGAACAAGGGCCGCCTCACCTCTCTGCAGGGGATGACCTGAGGAAGAAGCGACGTTTGGAGCCCACCCTGGGCTTCTGAGGCATCTGTCCAACTCTCTGGCCCAGGGCCCAGAACTGCATGTAGATGTACTGATCCAAATTTATTGTCACCTGCCAAGGGGGACAAAGGAAGCAAAGGCAGCTGAGCACGGGCTGGAGTGTGAGGGCAAATCCTGAAATAAGATGTCTTCCCCCCCGCCCCCAGTGAGGTCGCCACATCTCTCAAGCTCATCAGTCAGCACCCGCGCCTGGGCACGGCACCCATGTACGGTGGCCCAGGAGGTACGCGACATAAGGGTGGCTCGTTGCACACGCTGGCCAGCGCTGCCACGTTCCCCGACCCTGAGATGCCACTGATTTTTGGCCGCTCCGTGATTTTATAAAGCAGCTAAAGGAGAAAATGGATTGCCAATTAAACTAGATCACACCACTACTTATAAGTCACATCCCAACTTCAGGGGCAATAAAACACGTCCTGCGTAAAAAGTACCTCTTAAAAATCACAAACATGTGGAATTTGGGGAGAGTTTGGTAGTTTTATTATAATTTTGTTGACTTGAAAAATTATAATTTTGTTGACTTGAACATTTTGTATAATTTATTATGACAATTTTCTGGTGGATGGCAATAAAGTCTTTAGTTCTAAGAAGATCGTATCTTATGATGCTTCCAACAGATGGCAGTGAAGTGGCCTGAGAAACAGCTCTTTCTAATTCACCAAAGGCGCTATGTGGGTGGGTATCCTGCCTTGAGGACTACAACTCCCAGTGGCCTCTGCTTCCCAAAGGCCCCAGCCCTGCCCCCAGGCCTCTTAGAAGGTTGGTTCTCCGCTAGAAGACAGGTACCTGGACCTCATCCTGAGGGTGGTGGACCACCAGCGCGTAGGCCAGGGCATCCTCGGAGAGTGGGGAGAAGTTGGCCTGGGCCAGCAGGGGCCCCAGCTCCAGAAGCACCTCCTGCTCATTGGACAGACGCTGGGGGTCTGTGAGTGAAGGCTGGTCAAGGGTCTCCCTGTCAGGGTTGATGGGGTCATATAAGGCCTGAGGAGAGAGTCAGAAGAAAAACAAGCAAGGTCACAGCATAAAGGGGTCGTGGCTACATTTCAGTATGTTCCTGGCCCCACCCTTTAAATGATGGGGTACCCCAGGGCTTGACTCGGATCCCCCTTCCCTTGTTTCTCGCCAAGCTCGCTCTGAGTGGCCTCACCATTCCCATACCCTCAAACACCGTCTTTCTCTCTCTTTTTCAAATATTTTATTTATTTATTTTCAGAGAGAGGGCAGGAAGGGAGAGAGAAAGGGAGAGAGACACTGATGTGCAAGAGAAACATGATCGGTTGCCTCTCACGCACCTCCAACCGGGCCCCAGGCCCGAAACCCAGGGGAACCCAGGCACGTGCCCTGACCAGGAATCAAATCAGCGACCTTTGGGTTTGCGGGATGACGCCCAGACCACTGGGCCACACCAGCCAGGGCTAAACACCCTCTCCTGCAGATAAACTGGCCACTCACATCTCCAACCCAGACCTCTCTGAATCTTGGACCTAATTCCCGATTCCAGCGCATGCGCATTCCTTCTCCGGTTCTCCCACAGGAAGGGAAGTGAAGGTGGACACAGACTGCCCAGAGAGACTACATTTCCCAGCCTCCCTTGAGGCTCTGTGTGGTCAGAAAACTAAGGTTTCATCCGCAGAATGGGAGCAGAAGCGATGGATGTATCTTCCCTCTCACTTCTTGCCCCGCCCCCAGAGCTTCCACTCTTTCCTCGTTCAGCCCCTGTAGAACACTGTTCTACCCGTGTCCCAGTTTTGACCACGCAGTGATGAAGACAGTGCCCTAAGGGACTGCAGAGCAACAAGATGGAAGGAACCTGGGTCCACGCCTAATCTCATGTGGAACAGGGCAGCCTATGCACCCTGGCCCATTTGCCACAGGGCTGTTAAAGTGGGAGAAAAATAATCCTCCATCTCCTTTAAATCACCTGATGGTGGGGGTCTACTTGTTACAGCAGCTAAGCCTCTATATGACCTCATACAAACTGTCTACTTGACATTTATTTTTTAATGAGATATTTTGTATTTTGTAAATCTTCACCCAAAGATATGTTTTATTGATTTTTTTCTTTTTCTTTTTCTTTAGAGGGAAATAACGATATAAGAGAGAAACATCAATCAGTTGCCTCTCGTACGAACCTCGACCGGGGATCAAACCCACCACATTTTGGTGTACACGGATGATGTTCCGACCAACTAAGCCACTCGGCCTGGGCTTGGAATTTCTTTTGGGATATCACAGTCACCTCAAATACAGCAAGCCCAGCCCACAGACCACACCCCCACCCCAGCCTTCCAACACAAACACCATTCTGCATTTCCTGTCTCTAACCGTTCCCCTCAACCACCCCTGGCTTCTCCCCTGACCTCTTTGACCTCTCCACCTGGATGCTGCACAGCACCTTGCCTCTAATGTGGCCCAAGGTACAGGCTTCATTTCCCCACCCCCCACACCCAAGTCTTCTTTTAGGAAATGGTACCACCACCTACTCGGAGGCTCTGACCAGAAATCTTGCCCTGGCTGGTGTGGTTCAGTGGACTGAGCACTGGCCTGTGGACCAAAAGGTGGCCAATTCAATTCCCAGTCGGAGTACATGCCTGGGTTGCAGGCCAGGTCCCCAGTTGGCGGCGTGCAAGAGACAACCGATCGATGTTTCTCTCACACATCAATGTTTATTTCCCTTTCTTTCTACCTCCTTTCCCCCTCTCTCTAAGAATAATCTTTAAAAAAAGAAAAAGAAACTTTGGAGGCATCTGGACTCTTCTAACCTCTGACTCACTGTTGACTCCCTCTTCCCTTCCATTTCACTGCCATTTCCAGTCCAAGCCACCTCCGCCCTGCGCCTGCGCAACCGCACCGGGCTTCCGCTCTGCCTGCTCCTGCCGGCGCCACTTCGGAGCCATCCCCCACCAGGCCATGGCAAAGCGCACACCCTACCCCTCCAACAGCTTCCTACTGCATTTGGAATAAAGTCCAGAGTCCTTCCAGGACCTTCAAAGACCCTGTAGAACTAGCCGCTGCCTTGCCCACCTCATGTTATCCACCCACCCACCCCCCAAAAACTGTTGAATGAATGAGTGAGGTTCTAGCTGCCTAGCCTGCTTTGCTTGAGGAGAGATTGAGTTTCAAGATGATTTATGACTGTTCCACACCAACCAGCGAACCTCAGAGGGAAATCACCCCTCCATAAAACCAGTCCCTAAATCCCCTCTCTGACTGTCTCTACAGAACAACCTGGTTAGGCCAGGTGTGACTCTGAATTAGTGCAAGGACAGAGGAGAGGGTACTCTGAGCGGGAGGAACGGCCTGGGCATGGGTTTGGAGGTGGGGAGGGCCGGGGCCTCAGAAACAAATGAGCCAGGAGCTGGGTGAGGCAGGGACAGTCAGGCCCCAGCTAATCCTCCTGAAATAACTCCCGGGGTGGCAGGGGACATGCTGACCGAGGACAGGACCTGGGGCCAAAGCAAAGGCCTGTAATGGCAGGTCCCCCAGGCCACGTGGGCACTCATTTCGTGACCCTGAGCAATCCCATTGCCACAGCTGAGCTGCAAGTTTGCGAGTGGGGGCATCTCTCAGCTGGAAGCGAGAGAAATCTGCATTCATCACACGTCCGCTATGAGCCAGATTCCTTTCTGGGAACTGCATATCCACCAGGGCTTCGAGCCAGAAACCTGGGTGCTGCAGGTGACCCCAGCTGCTCCCTCCCGAATACAGTACCAGCCCCCCATTCCACCTCCATGCTGATCCCCACCTGGCCCAGCCCTCTCCTCTTGGTCCACACTGCCATGGCCTCCTCCGAGCTGGCTGAGTCCAACAGCCTTCTCAATGGTTTCCCCAAATCCCCTCACCCCCTCACCCTTGCTAATCTGTCCCCTACCTGGCAGCCGGAGACAGCTCAGCAAACAATAACAATAATAGTAACAAATGAGAAAGACGACCTTACACAGCACTAACTCCGTGTCAGGCACTATCTGAAGCACGTTACACACATTCTCACCTGTGAGAATGGGATTTTTGTTAGTCTCACTGACAGACGTGGGAACTGAGGCACTGAGAGGTTAGCTGGGAAGTGGTATATCAGGAATCCCACATCCAACCATGTCAGCCTCCTGCCAAAACCCTTCCAAGGCTCCTACCACCCTCAGGAAGGACCATGCCCTGCACTGCAGCCTGCGAGCCCTCCCAGCCCCTGACATTGCCTCTTCCTTGGTCCCTGTACACCAGCCACAGGGCCTTTGCACATGCTGTTGGGAGACTCTCCCGACCCACACGCCCCCACCCGCCTCTTTCCCCTTCCCCCACTGAATTCCTCCTCCTCCACCGTATTCCAGCTCCCGTGTCACTCCCTGGGAGCCTCCCTGCATTGCCCAGGCTGAGCAAGGCCACCTGTACGGCCGGGCAGGGTGGGCACTGCACCCAGGAGCCAGACCCAAGAAGCACCATTGATGCTGGAGACCTGTCCACTTGTTACCCATGGATGGGAATGAATGGTACAGAGCAGCACCGCCCAGCGGAACTCCCTGCGGTGAAGGGAACATCCAGACAGCCCCGCCCACCAGGTTGCCATGGGTCACAGGTGGCTACACTGAGGGCTTGCAATGTGGTGAATGTGACTGAGGAACAGAATTTGAAAATCTTACTTCATTTCAGTGATCCCAAATGTAACAGCCACATGGGGATGGGGCTATGCTAAGAGACAGCCCCTGGCTAGGGAAAGGGGCTCCTCTGTCTAGACGGCACATGGACCCTGGCACAGAAACCACGGTCAGCTTTGTTAGCCGCTCACAGGGAGTGTGGCCTGCAAGGTGACAGTCTGAACCTCTCCATTCACTGGGAAAGAGCATCTCGTTCATGACTGTCCCCACCAGCTGACTTCGGCTCCCTGAGGGCAGGCGACAGGCTAAAGCCGGCTCCTCAGTGAGGCCCAGCAGCCGGCCAGGCCTCAAGCACACACCTGCTGATAGGATGAAAAATGTCCCCGGGGCTGCGTGGCCATGGCTGCCACCCTCTGTCCTCAAGCATTCCCTTGGGGACTTCAAATACCATCTGTCTCCGGAGGACTCCCAGATTTGCCTCCAGTCTGGGACGTCTTTCTGAAACTCCAGACTCACGCAGCCAACAGCCTACTTAACACTCCCACACGGTGGCCAGCTGGCGCCTCAGAGTTCCACACGGGCACCCGACGGGCATCCTCTCAAACCCGCTGCGTCCCGTTCCTGCGCTTCCCGCCAACCTCCCCAGCTCAGAAGAGGCCAAGTCCACCCTTCTAGGTGCTCAGGCCCAAAGTCTGGGGTCACCCTGGACACCTCTGTCTCACACATTCAACCCATCCGCAAATCCTGATGGCACCACGTTCAAACAGATCCAGAATCCAACGACTTCTCAACCCCTGTCTGAGCCACCTGTACCCCCAGAATGTTGTGGTACCTCAAGCAGGGGTGTCCCCCGGCTCCCATCCTCCATCCCCACCCTGCTGTTCCCCACATGGTCACCAGAGGGCGCCTGTTGTAATCTAAGTCCACTCATGTCCCTTTGCTCAGGGCTGGCCCTTGGCTTCCAGCTTACCCAAAGTCCTCACCGTGTCCCACAAAGCCCTGCAGGATCTGGCCCCATGGCCACCTGTGCCCCCAACTCCAGCCCTGTCCCCCTTGCTCACTAAGTTCTAGCCCCATTGACCTCCTTGCCGTTCCTCCTATACTCCTGTCACAGGGCCTTTGCACTTACTGTTCTGCAGCTCTCCACCCGGCTTGCTCTTGCCTCCTTCAGATCTCTGCTCAACCGCCAACCCCTCAGGCCTTCCCTGACCACCCTACCTAAAACTGCAAAACACCTCTGCTTTCTTCTTCTCATTAGTTAGTTACCAGGTTTAGGCAAAAATAAACACAACGAATTAAAATAAAATACAGGACACCAAGTTAAATGTGATTTGCAGATCAATGTCGAACAATTTTCAGTTTAAGTGTGTTCCCATGCAATGTTTGAGGACCGTATTGCATGGGACATAACTGCACTTAAAAAATTATTCATAGCTCATCTGAAATTCAAATTTAACTGGGTAGAGAGGGTTCAATCGTGCCCTCTAAAAATGCATGTTCTCTCAGAGCCTCAGAATATGATCTCATTTGGAAAGAGTCTCTGCAGGTGTAATTCAAGAAAAGCTTGAGATGAGATCATCGTGGGTAAAGCAGGCCCTGAATCCGATGACAGAGTCCCGGTAAGAGACGGAAAAGGGCACAAAGAGGCAGAGAGAAGACAGTGATGTGAAGACGGAGATGGGGTGATGTGTCCACAGGCCAAGGACTGCCAGCGGCCACCAGAAGCGATGAGAGAGCGGCCTGGGATGATCAGCCCCTGACAGGCACCAGAAGAAACTAACTCTGCCCCCGGCTCCTGGACTCTGAGAGAACACACACCTGCCGCTTTAAGCCGCCTGGTTCATGGTAATTTGTTATGGCAACGTGAACAAACGAGGCATCCCGTACTTCACCTGGCAACGCTCTCCTTAGACCTGGGCATCTCTTAACATACGTTCCTCCTTTGCCCTCTTGCGGGTCTGTGTCCCTCACGAGAACATGACCGAATGAGGTGGACACACCCAGCTGTCGGGCTCACGGCTGTGTCCCAGGGCCTGGAACCGTTTGAGGGGCACAGTTGGTACTCAGCAAGTATGTACTGAGCAAATTCAATGAATGAATGAATAAGGGAAAGGAGGAGTGGAGAGAGGTCACCTGCCAAGGCCACCTGCCGAGGTCACCTGCATGACTTGAGGGAACACGCCTAGCTTTTGAACCAGGGCAATTCATTCTTAGCATAGACCAGGGATGTCAAATTCATTTTCACTGGGGCCACATCAGCCTCGTGGTTGCCTTCAAAGGGCCAAATGTAATTTCAACTCCTTAACAGTGAAGGAGTAGTTACATTTATACAGTCCTAAGATTATTTCGGCCCTTTGAAGGCCACCATGAGGCTGACGTGATCCTGGTGACAATGAGTTTGACACCCCTGGCACAGACTATCCCATGTGGCCCAAGGTTCTGGGTGAACCAAGACACTCTTATTAGGCAGGACATCCCAAGGACTTAGAGATTCCCTCCCAGAAGCCTCTCACTGGCCAGCCTTTTGTCTGAAATGTGCAGGGTCTGGACAAGCGGGGTCTGCTGAGTTAACCCTTCACTGCACACTGCCACATCCCCCTACAGGTCCCCTCTTTGCTTCAAATAGCAGCAACGGACAATACCCCCTCCTTGCCGAGCGCTCACCCTGTGTTGGGCTCATTGACTTCTTCCTGCGACACCCGGGGCAGAGCTTGGAGGCAGGTGGACAGGGCCACCAATCCTGCCTCTGCTGCTTGTGACCTGTGCAATCTTGGGCCCTTCCCGGGCACTTTCGGGCCTTGGTTTCTGCCTCCGCGAATGGGGCTGATGGCGGCTGACCTCTGCAGAGGCTGGAGACTGAGTAACTAGAGCAGCCATACAGGTGGCCAGCCAGGCCGATGTGAGCAGCCTCCAGTAAAAACCCTGAGCAAAGCTTCCTGGGTGAGCCTCCCCGGCTGGTAATATTCCACATGTGTGGTCACATGTCACTGGTGGTTCATGTGACACAATGGAGAGAGGACAGTAGCAGCTCTCACCTGGTCTCTCCTGAACCCTGCCCCCTCGCCTTTTTCCTTTGCTAATTTTTTCACTATCCTTTTGCTATAATAAAGTATAACTGTGAACATAACAGCTTTTTTCAGCTTTGGGAGTCCCTCTAGAAAATTAATGAATTGAAGAGTGGTCTTGCAGGCCCTCAAAACAGGCAGGACCCAGGCAGGAGAAGGAGGAGATGCTAAAAATTTATCTTCCTGCCCTGGCTGGTGGCTCAGTGGATTGAGTGCCGGCCTGCAAACCAAAGGGTCGCAGGTTTGATTCCCAGTCAGGGCACATGCCTGGGTTGCAGGCCAGGCCTCGCATCAGGGCATGAGAGAGGAAACCACACATTGATGTTTCTCTCCTATCTCTCTAAATATAAATAAATAAAATCTTTAAAAATCCCACAGAATTTAGCTTCCAACACCACTCCCTCCTGGGGTTCCACTTCTCTCTCCCGCTGCTCCTTGTCCAGCCTCCTCCCCAGTTCCACTTCCCCTTACTTGTCTCAAGGCTGACACCCTTGGGGGTTCAGCTCACTCCCCTCACGGTACCGTTTAGTACCATCTAGATCCTCCCAGGGTTGCTTCTCAGCCCAGACCCCTCCCTGGACCTCCAGACTCCACATTCGAGTCCATATCTCTACCTGGTGATGGCTCGAACTCCTAAGTCCAAAGCTGCGCTTTCAATCTCCCCTGCAGATCTGCCTCCCGCCCCTGTCCCACCATCTTCCACAACCCAGAAAACGGCAGCTCCATCCCCCTGGGTGAGCAGGCCAGAGCCACTGGAGGCACCTCGGACTCCTCTTTCCCTCCTCACCCTGCACACACAGCCGAACGCTGACGCCTTCCAGCCCTTACGTAGACTAAAAGGCAAGTCCTCACCACAGCCTATGAGCCCCAACCAGGAATCAAACCCGAAACCTTCTGGTGCACAGGATAAAGCTCTAATCAACTTTGCCACCCGGCCAGGGCAGCACACTCCTTCTCTTCACTCAGGTCTTAGCTTACCTGTTACCTCTTTACCCGAGAACCTCACCTGACCACCCGATCTAAAACAGGCCCTCATCTAATCCCTGTCTAATCTGATTCAATCTCTGCTTCATGGTTCTGCACAGCATTGATCACTTCTGGGCAACCTAGTTCTCGTTTATTTATTGTCTTCCAACTGGAATGCTGGCTCCCGGAGGGTGTGACTTCATCTGTCCTGTTCACCACAGCATCCCCAGGACTTAAAACGGGGCCAGGTTCCATGGAGGTGCCCAGGGAACTTTCACTGAATGCACGGACCAGCAGACAAGCCTTGCAGAGCAGGAGGGGCCGCCCTCACCTGCAGCCGGGTCAGGATGTGGTGGTAGTGGAATAAGGTGCAGAAGTCCACGTGGGCTGAGAACTCCTCCAAAGCTGCCTTCTCCGCAGGACTGGAGTGGAATTCCTGTCACCTCAGGAAGCAAAACTGCTCTTTAGGCCTCCATCCCCTTCCCCACGGGGAGGAATTCTTTCCAGGGAAGCCCATACAGACAGTCAGAGCCCTGGGCTTTTCAAAATTTTGTTTTGTTTGGGGGAGGGTGTCAATTTTACCGACCAAGTGGCTGAGGTAACCCGGTGTGGTGAAAAACAGATTACTGAATTATCTGTAACAGATTACAGATTACTATGCTGTCATCCTCCAGAGATGCATGGGCCAGGGGAACCATCACCCCCATTTTTCAGAGGGGGAAATTGAGGCTCAGGGAAGCCACCTGCTGCGGGCTTCCTCAGAGAGATAGAGAGAAACTAGAGACTCCGGTGTGGGCCTGTCTGACTGCAGGGTGCATGTATGCTAACAAAATATTTATGCTGGTCACTTTCCTTCCCCTCTTCAGTGCCCTCATTTATAAAATGGAGGTGATGGTGGTATCTTTCTCATTGAGTTGTTCTGACGACTCAATTAATACATGGAAAATTCTTGGCACGGTGCCATGTAATAAGAGCTCAAACAATGTGATAATAATTATGGTTATAACTTCACAGGTATAATAATCATTATTAGGTAGTAATAAGCCTAATGAGGATGATGATTATACCTGTTTTACAGAGGGGAAACGGTGCAGTAGAAAGTGCTTGTTACAGCTCCCAGAACAAGGTGGAGTCGGGAATCGCTGCTACATTTGCATCTGAGAGGTCTTCTAGTTAACATGCCAACTCACTTCCCGCCCACTTGGGACTGCAAGGGGAACGGGAACTACAATTCCCAGGAGGGTCCAGGGCAGCCCTCTACGGCACGAAGGGCCCTGCCGCCGCAAGGCCTGCCGGGAGTCGTAGGCCCCAGGCTCTTGGACCCCCGGACGGGCGGTACCTGTATCAGGAGGCGGAGCAGCTGCTCCCTGGTGAATGGGATGAACTGCTCCCGGTACTGCTGCGCCCAGTCGCGTGGTTCTGTGGGGTTCCACATCTTGCGGTACTCCCCCATCTTGGCCGCCAGCGAGGACAGGGCTCGGGCGGGGCCGAGGAGCGCGGGCAAAAGGGGCCATCCTCGGACCCGGGATCCCCAAACCCCCCGGGCCACGTGCAGCATGGCCAGCCTCTGTCCCCCGAGCCTAAACGAGGGGTATGGGTAGGAGTCAAAGGACATCTGGGGGGGAAGCGCCCTCTCCACCTCCTTTCAGTAGCTCTCTCTACCCAAGGCGGCGCGCAGAGCCCATCCGCCCGCCTCGGGCCCCTCCCAACACTGCTCCGTTGACCTGGGTCCTAGGGAAGGGTCAGGGGTCTTAGATCCTGGGGCATTTTGAGGGCCCAGAAACACTGAAGTGGTACAACTGGTTTCTGCGGGATCCGGGCCATGAGGTGGATATTAGGAGCATAAGAGAAGCTCGGAAGGACTACGTAAAGGGTGCAGGGACGCCCTCCCCTGGCCATGCAATCCCCCTCCCTACCCTCACCTTAGCCAACGCAGGACTGTCATTGAGCCTCCTGCGCATGTGCAGAAGGGCGTCCTGGGCCCCCAGGGTTCGGCTTCAACCAACAGTAGGACACATGCGCAAAACCTGGGTCACCGATCGCGGTCCATTTCTGTAATGCCGTCTCAACTGCGCACGCGCACCATCTCTGTCCACACTATGGGTGGGGGGGCGCAGCGCATGCGCAGCGGGGTGTCTCCTTGGCCGCGTGCTTCAAAGAGAAGGGGAGGGAGCGGGCGCGAGACTCCCGAGAGGGCTGGGGCTGGGTTGGGCTCCGCGTGAAGCCTGCCAACGGCGGCCGGCCCAACGTCCGCTGTGGCCACGCCCACGCTCGTGTCTGCTACTAAGTAGGCGGGAAAAGAGAGGAGGCGGGACTTGGGCACAGCCAATCAGCTGTGGAGGAGCGAAAAGGCGGGAAAACGCGGAAGCAAAAGAAGTCTGAGGTGGCGCCAGGGACCAGGATGGGGAGGGTGGGCGGAAGGAACAGCGGGCCCCCAGGTGACGCAGGCCATGCCTCAGAGGAGGCACCCCTTTGTCAGGAAGCTTCCCCTCAGGTCTCACCACCCCCATTACAGGGTCCTTAAAGGGAAGACCCTGGCTCTAAGAAGGTAGCCTAGTGCCCCGGACATGGCCTCCTCGCTCTGAGGGGACAGTGCTGTTCTAAGCCCAAGTCCCCACACGTCTGAGGTCCAGACCCCCCAACTTGCGGAAATGCATTTTTATGAAGATGGAGCTGAATTCCAAGGGGAGGCCCATATTCTAAGGAAGTGACCCCCAGTCATAAGGGCCTGCCTGGGTTCTCCATTGGGGGCACTGTCACCCCAAATGGAGGGATTCCCCTGGTTCACATCTCCCAGGGGTTCTGATCCAGCACCTCTACTCCCTGGGAAACGCCACTGGTGTCCTCTCACAGGGCGGACACAGTCCTCCAAAGGGGGCCCTCAGGCTCCCGTGTCAGGGATGGGAGTCCACTATCCCCAGCCCTCTTTCCACCCCTTCTCCCTGCCAGGGATTTCCTCGCCCAGCACCTCCACCTCCCCACCCCCAACCCAGCTGCCCCCTCACCTGGTGACCCCACCTCTAGAATTCTCAGGACCCCCTTACCCTGCACCCCAACTCCTAGGATCCTCAGCAACCCTCTCACCCTGCACCCCCACCTCTGGGACCCCAAGCAGCCCCTCTACTCCATGCCCCGACTCCTAAGAACCCTACCAGACCCTGCACCTCACACAACCCCACTTCTAGGACCCCCCAGTACCCCCCTATCTCAGGCCCCTTACTCCTGGGACCCCTGGAGGCTCCTTCGCCCATGCCTCTGACTCTGACCCCCCACCATCCATCTTGTCTTCCAGCAGCCGAGCCCGAGGGTGGGTCTGGAACCTCCACAAGAGAGCAGAGCACCCCTTCTCCCGCCTCCCAGGGCTCCAGAAGCAGGACAGCCACCATGCACATCCCCGAAAGCCTCCAGGAACTGGCCGACAGTGAAGCCGTGCGGTTTCTGAAGAGGCCAAAGACGGTCGGGAGGATCTTCGCAGGGGTGAGGCCCTCCTGCAGCCCAACTGCCCCGTGAGGGGCAGGGAAGAGGGGGGTCTGGCCTCTCAGACGCACAGTGTCCAGGGAGCAAGGGACAGGAAGGGGCTGGGTGGGCAGAAGGAAGCAAAAGGGAACTCAGAACTGAAGTCACCGTTTACTGAACGCCTGGCTTTGGGCCCTGTCTGCCCTGAGCTATTCCTAGCCCCTAGGACTCTCATGGGAGGAACCAACGCTTCGTAGTAGGTGCCATGAGCCCCATTTTTGAGATAAGAAAACAGAGAGAAGTTCAATCATTTTTGAAAGGCCGTGCTGTCCAAGGGGGAAGCTGCATGTGGCTCCGTCAACTTCAACCACCGTGTTTTGCTGTGTATAACACGCACAAAACTGTGGGTGGGCATTATACACAGCAAGAACACGGTGATTCAAATAAAATATTCTGTTCTCCAGTCACATTTCAGGTGCCCAACAGCCACGTGTGACTGGTGGCTCACCTGCTGGGCACTACAGGTCAGATCGAGAACATTCCCATGGTGGCAAGCAGGGCTGGCTGAGGTCACCAGGCGGAGGCAGGGCCAGAATTCACACTGAGGCATGTGAGGTGCCAAAGCCTGTTCATTTTCCTCCTTTCAGACCAGGGACTGGGAGAGGAGCAGGGGCTGGGGCATCTAGGAAGAGAGTGGTACCTGGAGTTGGGAAGAGAACATCAGATGTTGGGCCGTCACTGTGCCAGGCACGGGGCCAAGCAGGGGCCATCCAGGCATTTTTTAAATCATCACCGCATTCCCAAAGAGTCAAGACACCTGGGTCCAAATCCTCATTCAGCCCAACTCTGCTGTGTGACCTTGGGCCAGTCACTACTCGTCTCTGGGCTTCATGCTATGCCGCCTCTATTCCCGTCCTTTGACAGAGTTGGAACCTGAGGCCCAGGGGGCTGATGAACCTTGGTTGGGGTCATGGGAGAAGTGGGGTACCGTGGATCAAACCCAGGCTCCTAATCCAGAGGATCCCCTTCCTACCTCTCCTGGAACCTGTAGGCAGGAGATCAAACAGACCACTTGCTGCCACATCAGGTGGCATGCTCCCCGGTGTGCCTGGGCCAGGCCTGGTGTCACTGTCAGTAGTGCCATCTTCCATTCTCGAATGTGCCCCGAGGTGCTCAATAACTTACTGAGTCGCCCTGTGCCTGTGCCAGCTTGAGCAAGTGACTCAATGTCTCTGGACCTCTGTACCCTTGTGTACAAGAGGACTCCAATACCCTGCTCACGGGAAAGGTGGTGTGAAAATGAAACCAGTTAGTGTCCCCACACTGATTAGCATGGGCCTGGCTCATGGAAAGCTTTCGTTAAATAGAGATTTAAAAAAATAATAAATAAATAAATCCTGCCGTGGCTGGTGTAGCCCAGTCAGGGCACATACCGGGGTTGCAGGCCGGTTCCCTGCAGGCCAGTTCCCAGCAGGGGACGCATGAAAGGCAACCATACATGGATGTTTCTCTCCCTCTCTCCTTCCCTTCCCCTCTAAAGATAAATAAATTTAAAAATCTAAAAAAAAAAATCCTTACCCTAGGATATGAGGATTTTAGAGAGAGAGGAAGGGAGAGAGAGAAACATCAATGTCAAAGAGAAATATTGATCGATTGCCTCCTGTGGGTGTCATGGGCTCTGACCAGAAATTGAACCCACAATTTTTGGTGGGGTGGGGAGACAACGCTGCAACCAACCGAGCCACCCAGCTAGGGCTTAAATACCAATCATCGTTGGGACGAATCATTACGTGTGAGCGAGGAAAGAGGTGGGTTTCAGGGTGCCTAGGGTGATGGGGACTCATGTCCCTTGTCATTCTCCACCAGGGGAGGAAGGGAATTCCACATCCTAGTTTCACGTTCCTCACCGGAGTGACCTCTTTCTTCTGCTCTGCGCCATGACCCTCTGACACAGGTGTTGTTACCCCTGATTGGCCCAAAGAGAAACTGAGGCTCACAGATGTTGAATGACTTGCCCAAGGACATCATCCAGCTGGCGAGCAAGTCAGAAAGATCTGCACGCCTCCAAAACTTCGCAGGGAAGGGCGGGCGGCGAGGGAGAAGGCGCAGCTGCTGCGGACTGGGGTGGGGAAGGGGGAGGGAGGGGCTGCCGGCCGTGCCAGACGGCTCGGTCACAGACTTTGCCCACCGCCTGCATCCGCCCTCCCTCCCTCCCAGCTCCCCTTCCCCCCTGGCCTGGCTCCTCAGTAGGGACTCTCTGGGCAGCTGGTGCTCTTGTCTTCACTGCTGCCTGCCAGCTGGCGCCTTAACTGATGAATCTTTGCTCCCTCCCTGGGGACAGGCCAGAGAGGGCGTGGAAGGCAGTTTGGACTCGGGCTTCCAAGGGGTGGGGTCCCTCCAACCCGCTGAGCCTCCTTTCCCACGTCTCCAGTGCCCCAGCCCAAGCGTTTGGGGATCAGGGGACAGACAACCCACCGGCCTAGAAGTCGGGAGGGCTGGATGCCAACCCCTCCCCTCCACTGACCGACCTTGAGAGGACACTCCTACCCCGCTGGGTGGTGGCTGAGAACTCTCCCTAGGGCCCACCCCCTCTTTGCAGCACAGAGACAGACTGGGAAACTGAGGTTTCAGGCAGCGAGTGATTTGCCCAAGGTCACACAGCTGGCGATGTCCACCGTGTCTGGCTCTTTCCACTCCCCCATAATGGCTTCGATTTATCACCTGTGAAACAGAAATGAATTAGTACCATCTAGGGCGCATGGGGCTGGCATGAGGCTTCAGGGAGGTGACGCAGGTAGAATGAATACGGGCTCAAAAATGATCGATGGGCCTGCTGGCCCTCCGCGTGGCTCTGCCTCAGACCACCAGGGCAGGACGCCCCCCTTCCATGGGCTCTCAGCCCTTCAGCGCGAAGCAGAGTGGAGGTGAATACCCTTGATCGGGGCCGAGGTGCTGGACAAAAAGGGGGGCTCACTGTCGTAGTTGTTGTCATTCAGAGAAGGCCATCAAGGCAAAGGATGGAGGAGGGACAGAGGCTGAGGGGGTTAGAGGCTGATCCTTTGCCTCCCCAGCCCCACTCAGGTGCTCAGGGCAAGAGCAAAGAAGAAGGGCCCAAGGTCATTCCCTCCTTCCACTCGCATTTGCTGAGGTCCATTCTGGTGCCGGGGATAGAAGGGTCCCACCTTTCCAGAAGGAGTTCGAATTCTAATGGATTCCCCTACTCCTCTCCTGCTCCCCGACTCCAGGCCCAGCACCCCCACGTAAATCACGCCCCTGCTCCAGTTTTACGTCTTAATATCTCTGGCTTCCCCAGAGCCTGAGCTCGGCCTCTGCATTTCTGTCCTGGCCTTCCCACCGGTTTCTCTGGTCCATTGTCTTGCCCCCTCCAAACCGTCGTAACCCTGGAGATGTGCTCTAACTCCCAGGTCGGACCCTGGCCAGCCTCTGCCCAGAACCCCTCCGTGCATGTAATTAGATGTGAGTGAGAGATTTCACTTTCCACTGCTGCAGAGATCAGGCCCCGCTGTCTGGTGGGCAGCCTCCGGGAGTCAGGCCTCTGCCCGTTCTCCCAGCCTCCTCTCGTGCCGGATCCCTCACAGTGGATTTCTCTCCAGTCCCCCAAGGGGCTCCACTCTGCAGCCCCCGGCTTTAGCACGCACGGTGAGTCCTGCCGGGAATGCCCTTCCTCCACTGGCTGCCGGAAACGCTCCTCATTCTTTAAGGTGCAGTTCAGATCTCACCCTATTTCCTCCTGAATTCAGCCCCATGACCTTGGTTTTGACTCAAACCTTGTCTCTCTCCCTGATCCCAAGCCCCAGCTTCCTCCTGGCCTCCGATCTCTAGTCTCTACGTGGCCCCGAAGGGGTCTTCCTGCACCCGAAGCTGAGCCTGCCCCTCCCGGGCTCAGAGTCTGCTGTGGCTCCCTATTGCCCTCCTGGCCACGTCCCCGTTCCCTCGCCTTTCCCACCTTCCAGCCATCACCTTATCCCACAGCCCCGGTGCATCCATTCCCACCGCCCAGCCCACATCACACGGGTTCCTCCCATATCTGGCGGGGACCTCTGCACACGCTGAACTCTGACTCTCTGGGACCAAACAACTGGGGCTGTGATAGGAACCTCTGCCCTCCAGGCGCCCGGCCCAGCTGGAGGCAGTGCTGCAGGGGGTTAAAGCAGATCAGCTCGGTTCAAACCCAGGCACTAGCACTTACTGAGTGGCTCTGAGTCAGTCCTCATCCTCCCTGCGCCTCAGGGCCATTGTCTAAACACCGGGGCTGTTAGCAGCACCCACGTCCTAGGCCGGCTGTAAGGATGGCGAGGGCTACTGCTTGTGGAGCGTGTCAGTGACGTTTTATAGATAAACACCGTGGAGGACAATTGTAGACGCAGGTCAGTCTACCAGTGAGTTCCACGTAGCACATGATGTGGGGGGGGCGGCGGGGAGCCTCAGTGAGGTTGTATTTGGTTTAAAAAGGAAAAAGTTAATGTTTATTGGGTCCTGGGTGTTTGTTACATTTCTCTCAATACTGTTCTGTGTTTTAGGACTTCACTAATTAATTCATTAATTTTGAAGATTTTATTTCTTTATTTGTAGAGAGGGGAAAGAGAGGGAGAAAGAAAGGGAGTGAAACATCAATGTGTGCTTGCCTCTTGCACAACCCCCATCTGGGAGCCTGGCCCGAAACCCAGTCATGTGCCCTGACTGGGAATTGAACTGGCAACTCTTTGGTTTGCAGGCCGGCACTCAATCCACTGGGCCCTGCCAGCCAGAGGTTGCAAATTTATTTTTAAAAATGAATAACAATTAGCGAAGCTGGGCGGGAGGAGGAAGCGGTGGCGGCAGGAAGAGAGCCTCCGCCAGGGCAAACACCCACTGAGCTCGTCCTGCGTCCTGGGCACTGTGCTGAGCATCTGATGTTGGTGCCTGGGTTTGGTGGCAGCTACTAGCTTGGGGTGGCAGAAGGGGTATGTGGGTGACATGGGCTGAGTGGGAAGAGCACAGACCAGGCAGGTCCTCACAGGCCAGGCTGAGGGTCTGGGGCTCTGTCCTGGGAAGGGCCAGGTGTAGAAAGGCCCCTCCAGGGCTGGGGTGGGGGCTGGTGGGGAGAGGCTGAGCCCGGAGGCAGGGAGGCCCAGGAGAGGCCAGGGGGAGGGCCCGGGGGGAGAGAAGGAGGCCTGAGCTGGGATGGAGAAAATGGGTAAGGGGCAACATGGGGCACAGGGCTGGAGACTCTGAGGACATGACGGGGAGAACGGGGCCAGAACTGCCCAGCGGGTGGACGGCAGGGCCCAGCCCACAGACGGGGGACCCAGCGGGGACCGGCGGGTTCAGGGAGACCCCGAGCTCCATCCAGGGCTCCAGAACCTGCTCCCGGTCCGCAGGTCTTCTCCCTCATCGTCTTCTCCTCCCTGCTGACCGACGGCTACCAGAACAAGACGGACTCCTCGCAGCTCCAGTGCGTCCTCAACAGCAACCACGTGGCCTGCAGCTTTGCCGTGGGCGCCGGCCTCCTGTCCTTCCTCAGCTGCCTGGCCTTCCTGGCCCTGGACGCCCACGAGAGCCGCATCGCCAGCACCCGCTTCAAGACGGCCTTCCAGCTTCTGGACTTCATCCTGGCTGGTGAGTCTCCGGCGCCTCCGCCCACAGCTTCCCTGCTCTCGCTCCCAGCCCTCCCTGGCTCCCAGGGGACCCCCAGGACACCTTCCCTCACTGTCCAGCTGGGCACATGGGACCCAAAGCTCTGTCCCTCCCTTCTCGGAGCTCATCGGTGCCTGCCATTTCCTGCCCGGGGAGTTACTACTCTGCCCTTTAGACTCAGTGTAAGGGTCACATCTTCTGATCCCTGGGCCAACTCTAGAAGCCTCCCTCCTGCCCACCCTTCCATCTCATCCTCCTTCTCCGCACAGAGCCATTCCCAGCATCTCAGGGCCTCGAGGGCCCTCGGTGGGCATCAAGTCCATCGCCCTCCAGGAGAACTCTCTGTGAGGGTGGGAACGTTCAGTACCTGCACTTCCCAATACGGGCGCCACTGGCCACATGTGGCCCCTGAGCCCTTGGACTGGGACCGTGAGGTTGCATGTTTTAAAAATCTTAATCGGCATGTAAACAGCCACATGTGGCTGCGGTGGGCAGCGCATCTCACGGAGGGCTGGGAGGGAGGGGCCCCTCCACGCAGAGAGACCCGGTCCAGCAGCCCTTCCTGAACCGGCTCTCCCCACCCCCCCCCACCCGCCTTTCTTCTCTCCTGTGACCCAGTCGTCTGGGTGGGCATCTGGTTCCTGGGTTTCTGCTTCCTGGCCAACCAGTGGCAGCACTCGCCTCCCAAAGAGTTCCTCCTGGGGAGCAGCAGCGCCAAGGCCGCCATCACCTTCGCCTTCTTCTCCATCCTCATCTGGGTGAGGATGGGCCTGTCCCTGGGCACCCTCTGCAGGGCAGGTGTCGGGGGGGGGGGGGATACAACGTCCGCCCCGTCAGTGAGCTCCCCTGGGCCTCCGCCAGCCCCTTCAACGACTCCCCAGCAAATGGGAAAGAAGGTGTCCCTTCCTCCGAGCAGATGCAGGCCAGCGTTTGGGATCATGCTGGGTGCCCTTGACCAGTGAGTGAGCGAGCAGCGGGCGCAGCGCACCCTGCGTCTCCCTCGCCCCCAGGCCAGGCCCCAGCCCCCAGCCCCCAGCCGCCTCCAGCACACCCTGCTCTGCCCACAGATATTCCAGGCCTACCTGGCCCTACAGGACCTCCGAAACGACGCTCCGGTCCCCTACAAGCGCTCTCTGGACGAGGGTGGCCTGGTGCTGACCACCCTCTCCCCGCCCTCTGCCTCCAGCCCCATCAACACGCCCACCGCTGGCCCCAACAGCATGAGTTACGCCAGCTCCGCCCTGTCCCCGTATCTGGCCACTCCGAAGGTCCCCCGCCTCGCCATGATGCCCGACAACTAGGCCTCCTCACCCACCTCAGTAAAGAGCTCATCCTCCCTCCAGAAGGGTTTCTGAAAACAGCCCTCTGTCCTTCTCACGTCTGTCCCTCTCTGGTTGCTGGAGTGGCCGGGCTGGGGAGAAAGCCAACAAGGTCTCCTCAGGGGTCTCTGTCGAGGGCCCGTGCCACCTGGCCTGCCGTCTGGGTGCCGCCGTGATAGTGGCAGGTTAGAGGTGGTGACAGGGAGGAGCCGTGTCTTTCGGGCCCGCCACCCACGGAGCCCTCTGCTCCTCACATCAGCCAGGGCACGGAGGCACCAGGCATCCCACTGCACTGCTGCGGAGTTCAAGTTCAGAGAGAATGCTCCCGCCAAGCGCTGGGAATCAAGGCCAACAGCGGGACTGGCCCTGTTGCTGACACCAGAGCCCAGGCTTGCTCTCTCACCCCACTGACCCGGGACCCAACTCAAAGCCAGGCTGCGTGAGGAGTTGCGAAAGACGCAGGCGGCAGGCATCGGTGGCTGAGGTCGGGAGATGCTGGAGGAGGAAGGGTTTTTTCACTCAGAACCCCAAAGCTCATCGGGGACTCAGGCACAGGCCACAGAGGGCTCCTGTGTGTAGGGCCACGCACGAGGCCCGGGGGTGAAGCACCCAGGAAGCAGCGCGGAGGCGGGGCCCGTGCAAGGGGCAGCCCCTGCTCCGCACGCCCCCACCCCCACCCCCACCCCCCGGCACCGGGCCGGGCACCCCAGAGCAGCAACACGGTCCCGGGGAACAGGTGTGGGGGTTTAGACAGTCTAGTAGCCACAGTCAGAAAAGGAGAGCAAAACAAGTGACATTTTCATAGATTTTATTTAAGCCAGTATATCCAAAATACGATCAACATGTCATCAGTATAAAAATGTCTTAGATAGCTTACATTCTCTCATACCAAGTCCCCGAAATCCTCTGCCCATTTTACATCTCGGCTGGGGCTCTCCCCATTCCACGTGTGGAGGGTCCCGTGGAGCTGATGCCCGCCATGCTGAGCAGTGCCTCTCTAGAACCTTCTGGTTTTCTAGAACATTCAGACATCCCTTCATGTGCATTTTTCTTTTCCTGTTACGCCGGCCAGACCACACGGCCCCGTACAGAGGTCACGGCGGCCTGCAGAGCATTCGTTCATTTACAGACTGGACGAAGGGACCGAGCTGTGGGGAGTCCCTCCGCGAGGTTTCCCACGGGGCAGGCCCCGAGCCCAGTGCCGGGGTACCGAACACACAGGGCGCAGCCCCGTGGGCACCGGGGAGAGACGGCGGCCGTGGAGTGGAGCGCGGCGCTGCGAGGCGGAATGGGAAGACCGGAGCGCTGGGCCGCACGCCTACCGGGGAAACTGGGACACGCCCCTTGGTTTCTCTGGGCCCCGAGCCGCCATGTGGGCTGCAAAGCCAGAGACCTGGACCAGACTGGCGGTGGTGGTTCTCGGACCGAGTTCAAGGAGGGCCGCCTCGCAGCCCCAGATCCACGCTAGCAGCCTGTTCCTGCATTTTCCACAGGAGGCCCCTGGGCAACATTCCTCTAAAGAGAAGGTCCCTTGGCTTAAGAGAAAGAAAAACATAAATAGTTGGAAACCCCCACAGCAGTGGCCTTTAAAACACAGAGGCTCCAGCGCCAGGGAGCTGGGGCACAAACCCACCTCCGCCACCCGACCGCTGAGCCCCCTGAACCCCGGCTTCCTCCGCAGAGGGACCCCCAGGGGTGCTGAGGGTCCAGTGGGCGCCTCCACGGAAGACACGTGGCCAGGAATGAACAGGCTGCTCAGGAAACAGCAGCTGCCTGCCTCCCAGCTTCCAGAACCATCCTGCTGGGGATCTGAGGGCGGTTAAAGAAGGTCTCAGTGGACATTTAGGGAGTCTGACTAATTCCGGGAAAAGAACGCCAAAGCTTCCAAGTGCCAGGCAGGTAATGGCAGTGAAGTAAATAGGCTAGGTGTGGAGGGACAGGAGGAAAACATCTCCTTCCCTTTTAACTCCACAAACGGAAACAGAAAATGACATGCCAGCCCGGATAATAAATGGTAATGACCCCTGGGCCGAGTCCTGGGGACTGTGGGGAAAAGCTCAAGGCTCTCCATTGGGCCCTGCCACCACCCAGACACGAGGACCTGGCACTGTCAGGGGGACAGATTTTTTTTTCCCCAAGAGAATCCACAAATTCAGATTTTCACATGAAACTCTGGTTTGTAAAGACTGGCAACCAATTCCTCCTTTTTTCTTAAAAAAAAAAAAAACACAATGGCTCAACAAAATGCCAGACAAGGGTGGGACGGGGGCTGCCTGCTGGTGACCTCAGGTCTTTTGTCACCCTGAGATCCGAGAGAACAGTCAGGGATAGGGAGAATCTTCGAGACTTCTTTCTCCAAAGCATCTTCCCCAGCGGGACCGTGAGGAGTCAGGACACACAGTTCACAGGCTTGGGAAACCCCGTTTCTCCTCTTTCTGCTCCTCCCAGGCCTCAGCCGCCTGTGGAGGGTCAACGGGATAAAGCAGAAGCAGAGAGAGGGGCTCAGGTGGGACCCCACAAACGCCAGAGAGAGAGGGCAAGGAGTAGCGAAAGAGAGGCGTCATTTTCCTCGGTTTATTTCAAGAGAACAAAGAATCAACCATCAATTCCGTACAAAAACATGGTGGCTGAGTCGTGGCGACCCTGGAACCAGCCCCCTAAATGCCCCAAAACCAGGACAAGACTAAAAAACCCCAAACTCTGGGAAAAAATTGTTATGAAAAATCAGGGGAGACCTTTCCCCCCCTTCCTCCCTGTCCCCAACCCAGAAGTTTGGGGGGCAGGGGCCGTGTTTGCAGCCAGGGTGGAAGGCGGGAGACAGGCGTGGGCAGATTTAGTGTTTGGCAAACAGTGGGGCTGGGGGCAGGATCTGGAGGGGAGCAGAGGCGCTCGGGAGAGAGAAAGGATCTCCCACCCTGGGCCCCCCTCCCCAGTACAGGATACTTGAAACAGTTTATAAAATCGGAGCCAGAGACTCAAAGAGAAAGAAGTCATCAGAATCAAAAACTAAATAGTGGAAAGATTTTTTTTTTCTTCTCTAAAAGGCAAAAAACTACAAACAGCCCAGGTCCTGAGCTCCCCAAGTCTCGGGTCCTCCACCACCCCCTGAAACCCGGCAGGAGGAAGATGGAGCGTGGGGAAAGGCTGGATCTTAAAAAAGTCACCCCTGGACAGGAAGGCTCTTCGTCTTGCGTCGCCTTCCTCTGCCTCTCTCCGCTGACGAGGAGAGGGACGGCGAGGACCGGGGCTACGCTGGCAAACTCAGCTTCTTCCCCTTCAGGACTGTGAGGAGAGAAAGGGAGGCAGGCGTGACCGTGGGGCCCCTTGGAGGGAACGGCCTCCCACACCCGGAGCAGGGGCCTGGGCACTGGGATGGGCGGAGATTTGAGGAGGCCGGGCCCCACAACTCTGGATTATAAACTGTGGAAATCAGCCTGAATTACCAACAAGTGGGGTGGGGGAACCCTAGTCCTGTCCTAGGGGCCGAGACCAGAGGAGGCCCCACGCTTTCTAGTGATGACTGCCCCTCTCACCCTGGAAGGCCTCGGGCTGGAGGCCTTGGATGGCAAGAGGGAGCTGGGGACAGAGGGTCCAGCCGGGCTGTGCAGGTGGGACCACCACCTCCCGGCCTTAATCCCGAGGGGCCCAGGGCTGCCCCCAGGCCCCCACCCTCCCGTCCCTTCTTTCCTTCACACCAACTGGCACCTGATTTCTCAGGTCTCTGCTTTAATCACCTCCTCAAAGAGGCCTCCCCCAAGACCTCCCCGCATGTAAAGCAGCCCCTCACTCTCCACGGTGGCTGGTACCCCTGGCTTCCTCTGTCCCAGCTCTCCGCACTGCCTGCAGCCACCTCTCTGTCCCTGTTCACTCACTGTCTCCCCCAGCTAGATTCATAAGGGGAGGGGAGGGCTCCGTCTGTCTTTTCCCCAGAGCCCAGCTCTGGCCAGGGACCAGGGAGGTGCTCAATAAATGAATCAATCAATCACTCATTCACTCAGTCATCGTGGGCCTGAATCCCGGAGGGCATGGACACAGATCAATGAACAGAGACAAGGCCCTCCCTTCTCTGAGCACTGCTGGGACATGGGAATTCGAGATTGTTTTATGGGTGTCAGACTGGGTGTCAGACTGACTCCGACGGACCTCAGGGCAGGAGGAGGGCTTAGAACAAACTGCCAGATAGGAAAAGTCAGAGGCCACCTGTGCCCTTCTCTGTCCTGTCTCCTCTTCCTGCAAATGCCCAGGGGCTGGAGAGAGGGATGCCTGGTCTGTGTGGTCCAAGGCGGAAGCCCCGCCCCGTGCAGGAAAGCAGCCTCGCTCTCATCCCTCAGAGACATGGAGGCTGAGGGGGCAAGTCCTTGGTCCTTAGGGAGGCCAGGGCTGGAGGGCTGAATTCCTGGGGCCGGGGCGGGGCCACAGAGGGCGAGGACTTGGGAGAGAGCAGGACCACTGCGGCCGGCCCCCATGCTGGCTACCTTTGGTGATGTAGAGGTAGAAGAAATCGCAGTAGAGGACCGTCTGGACCAGGCCGGCCACAATGGCGATGAGGTCAAAGAAGCCCTCGAAGTGGTAGCGCCAGATCCAGTTGAAGAGATAGAGCGTGCGGTAGACGCCCAGCGCAAACAGGTAGTGGCTGGTGATGGTCTCTGCCTCGCCCGTCTTGCTCACCATGAAGAGCTGCGGCAGGATGGCCACCGACTCCAGGTAGATGGAGAAGGTCCAGAGGATCTGCAGGGAGGAGGCAGAGCAGGGGAAGAGGGCAGGACCAGGCAGGAGGGGCCCGGGCGGGAGAGAAGGCAGGTGGTGGCTGCAGACAGCGGTGCTGCAGGATGGAGACGGGACGGCGAGGCGTGCCAGAGGCACTTCTGTGTGCCAGACATCGCTCCGCCTGTGCCACCTGCTCCCATTTAGGTCTCAACACAACCCCACGAGGGAGGTGCTGTTATTAGCACTCCCGTGCTACAGAGGAGGAAACAGGCCCAGAGAGCGGAAGAGACTTGCCCAAGACCATGCAGGCAGCAAGGGGCAGGGCTGGGATGCAAACCAAGGGTTCAGAGTCAGTGCACATGAGTACTGGCAATGATACCTCTCCAAATGGTGGGCCAGGTAGGGAGCTGGGCTCTGAGCCTTCCCTCCTATGGGATTTGGGAGAGAGACCCAGATTCTCTGAGCGTCCGCTTATCTCTGAAATGGAGATGTTTTCCTGCCCTGGTAGGGACGACATTCTGTGTGCAGTCTTCAGAGATAGAAATCAGACCGTGTTGCTCCCTGGCTTAAAAACATCCAGTAGCTACTTCGCAGAATAAAATCCAAATTTAACCTTGGTCCTCCGGGCCTTCCCCAATCCAGCTTTGTCTCCTGCTCCCGTCCCTAGGCCTCAGGGCTGCAGCCAGGCCCTCTGTCCCACCCGCCATCATGCCAGGCTCCTCTCTGCCCCAGGGCCTTTGCACTCGCTATTCCACAGCTCTTTCCCCAGACGGTCATATTCTGCCTCTCCCTCCTCCTCCTAGGCTCAGCTCATTGGTCACCTCCAGAGAGAGGCCTTCCCTGGCCATCTGCCCCCTGGGACCGACACCCCACCCTGTCTCATCTCTTTCCCAGCAGCCCTCCCCAGAACGTGGGGCTCAGGGTCCTCCGTCCTGTCCCCGCCATAACCCACCCCTGGCACATACTCAATGCCTGAATGAATGAATGAATGAATGAGTGAGTGAATGGGAGAGAGCTCCCATGTGCTTGTCACGGGCCACCATCCAGGGACCAGTGACAGTCATCCCTCGTGAGCAGGTCAGAGCACCGGGGGCAGGGGAAGAAGAAACTGCAGACATCTGTCAGCCCCTTTGCAGTCCTCAGTCACCTGAAAGTCCCATCTGGGGTGACTTGTGATCTGCAGACACACCAAAACCGCCCCTCAGGGAACAAGGCCAGGTGGCAGGGACAGCTCCTCCTCAGCTGTTTTGGTTTGTGAGACATAAGTGGACAACATCGGGACGTATTCATAACGGCGCATGCTCACAGAGCATCTACCACGGGGCACTGCACCCTGACCCTTCAAGGCACTGACTGGCTACGGCCTCACCCTATCAGGCAAGTCCTATTCTTATCCCCATTGTACAGATGAGGAGACTGAGGCCCAAGGTCGCATGGCTAACGTGTGGGCAGATTCCTACCCAGGCAGCTGGACTCCAGCGTTTGCTCCCATCATTATTCCGAATCCTCCAGCAAGGCTCTTAGCAAGTCAGGTCAGCGGAAGCTCTGGGAAAAGTTACCAATTACACCGACACACACCCAACCCCTGGGATCACACGTGGGACTAGAATTGTAACCTAAGGGGATATGGGAGGCCAAGTTTTCACCCCATTTATCTATTCATGACATCTGAAATTTAAAGTTTCCTTCTGTGGTTAAAAAATAATTTTTTGAGTATGCACCAACTAAGAGCGTAGCCTTTGAAAGCAGGCAGACCTGGGTTCGAACCCTGGGAGCTCTATTCCTGATCCTCAACTTAGTTCTCCAGAAAATGGGGGTGAGGATGGCTGAGGGACAGCATCCTCAGATGGGAGGGGCTGGTGGGTTTAGAACAGCCAGCGTGGAGCCAGACAGTCAGTGCCAACACTTTGCACAGGGGGACTGCCCCCTCTAAAGGAGGGAACCCAAAACACTGGAATCAAAAAGCCTTGGGTTCTGGTCTGGCGCCTTCCCCCTGGAGCAAGCCCCACTGCCTCCCCCAGCCTCGCTCTCCCCCTCTGCAGAACAGGCAGGCTCGGTGAGTGCCCCGGGTCACGTGGTGACGATATGTTTGCAAAGCCCAGGGCCTGCAGCCCAGCCCGGCGTTCCCACCACAGCACGCGTGGCCTTCCCCTGACAGTTCTGGGATGTGGGGCCCAAGTCGCCCTCTGTCAGGTCTGTCCAGCCTCACTGGGTGCTTTTAGAAATACACATTGAATCCATGGCCCACATTTTAAAGCAAGATCTCCCCGGGAAAACTCCCGAATTGGGGGGCCTCTGTTGAAAACGTCAGCCCATCTGGCCACTCAGGGCCAGCTTCCTACAAGGCAGGAGAGCACAGAGTTAGCACAGGCTCTCCCAGAATTCCTTGCAGGTCTTTGCACAGGTGCCACCAAAATGCCACAGAATAAAAACCAGGATAGCTAATGTTCAGGCGTCAAAGTATCAGCATGGTACTAAACATTTCAGTTGCTGAAGAAACATTAACGTAGAACTTCCTCACCGTGCTTTACCAATATCAAGCCCTCATTAGAACTTCCGAAGTCAGAACTGATTATCCCCATTTCACAGACAAGGAAACTGAGGTGCAGGGCAATTCACTAGCCCAAAGTCCCATGGCCACTAACGGGCTTCGAATACCAGCTCTCTGGTTCTGGAGTCTACGGGTTTAACCACTAGGCGATGCTGTATCCTCTCAGTCAATCCTCACGTGGTCTGGTCTCAATTTGTAAATAACAAAAGTGAGGCAGGGAGAGCCCAAGTTCACACTAACAGCAAGTCACAAATCTGGGACCCAAATCCAAGTAGCCTGGCTCCAGAGCCTCTGTCCCCAATTCCTGAGCCGTTCACGAGGCGGTTGACCTTGAATGAGTCATTTTGACTCCCTCAGCCTCAGTTTCCTCATCTGTAAAATGAGGCTGTGGCGAAAAGTACATGAAATACTTAGAACAGCATCGGGCACACAGTGAATGGCCGCTGCTGTTGCATTAATATCATCAGATTCCAAAGCGCATGCAGCTAAAGTTTATGTCCTAAAATAAGGAAGTTTGAGCAAATGTTGCAGAAGGAGGCCTTTGAGAGCCCACTGGCAACAGCTGCTCTGCCACAGCCCCTCCCCCACGACAGGGACCCTGCCAAGGAGCCTACCTCAAGAGGGGTAAAGTCATGGTTGACCAGGAACGCAAGGATGGCCGTGGGCACAACGAGAAACTCCACCCGGAACGTGTCGTGGTTCCCATCATAAGTGGCTTTGAACTTGCTGTAAATCATCCAGACTGTGGTGAAGGAGCAGGCAATATAGACCACCTGTTGCGGGGGACAATGTGCAGGGCACTTCAGCTCGCAGTTTGTGGGGCCTGTGCCCCCCACGCAGGGCCTGTGTCCCCAACAGGCTCAGTCCCAGGAGTCTGGGACCTTGTCGCCTCCTCCCTCAAACCCAGAAGTCTGGGACCCACACTCCCCCCTCAGGACAGCCCAGCAGGTGCGGTAGAGCTTTACCTTCATGCATGTGTTGTAGAGCGAGATGTAGTTGGTGAAAAGGTCCAGGTAGCGGGCAGTGAACACCACAGCAAACAGAACCTGGCTCTTCCCTGAAATCCCTGTGGCACAGAGGGAGTGGGGGGAGTCCGTGGGTGGGCTGCAGGGGGAATAAACCTAGGCCCGCGCCTGGGATGAGCCTGCACGCAGCTCTGGAGTGCAGTTGTCCCAGGAGGCCTCCCCTGCCCGCCCTGCCTCAGCAGGGCCCTTTCCCACCGCCCACAGCCAGGGGGCAGCCCGGTTCCGCAGCTACTCCAGCCCGAGGCTCTGTCCCAGACTAGGCCTCATGGCCACCCCTAGTCCCCTCAGGGTCCTCCCAAGTCCAGACCTCAGGTGGGGCCTCAGGGGAACCCCACTTGCCCTCAGCGCCCCCAGAATCTGTCGTCTCCCTCCCGCTCTCTTCCTGGCCGCCACGGTCCACGTCACCAACTCCCAGGCACCTCCCTGCCTGCCACGGGTCCCTGTTCAAGCCCCGGAACCGGGTGCTGCCCACAGTGGGGCAGGGGGAGGCCAAACTGGGTGCCTAGAGCCACCCTCACCAAACTGTGTGCACCCCAAGTCTGATGAAGGGAGCTGACCCCCAGGTGACCCCGGACCTGGGAGGGGGTTCCCCAGCAAGCGGTAGGGGGAGGGACCTTTCCCCCTAGTGCCTCCAAACCCTTCCCCAAGTCGTGGAATGTCCCCTGCACTCGCCCCCGCACTCCCGCTCCCGGGGGCGTCTCACCGGCACACGAGCGGGACTTCCAGATTTTGAGCAGTAGCAAAATGATGGCTAGGAGGTGGGAGAGGTCTCCCAGGAATCGGAAGAGATTCATGGTTGGGGGGGGTCTGGCAGGGCTGGAGGGAGGCAAGCTGTTGGGGGACTGCCCCCCTGAGCGGCTGTTCTGGCCGGGCGGCTGGGCTGGAGGGCGGAAGAGGGGCCCTCGGGTGGGCTCCGCTCCTCGGAGGGGACTGTTGGAGGGGGAGCCGAGGCGGGAGCTGGTGGCGGAGCCGGAGCTGGGAAGAGGGAGGAGGACGGGAGGGGGAGGAGTCCGGGCGGGAGGCCCCGCCCCGGAGGGCGGAGTCCCGGCTCTCTGGCTCCCCCTACCCTGCACCAGCCGGCTTGCAGAGTCCGTGCTGAATGCACCCCAAAGACGGCCTCATAGAAATGTGCGGGTTCACGGGGATCTGAAACTCCCAAATCAGGCACCTGCTCCTCTAGGCGGTCTGTGCCCACCTGCGCCCTTGACAGCGATGAGGGAGGCTGGCCTCTGGGCCTTTACAAACCCTAGACAGGGATCCAGAGGCTGGCTTTTCACGGGCCTCAAGCTCTGAGTCACCCAAAGGATAACAAAAGCAGCCCTCAGTGTTTCCCTCAGACCCAGGAGTCCGGCATCCCAGCGCCCTCCCAGGACACAGAAATCCAGTCTCTCAGCCCTCTCCTCCCTCAGGACCTAAGAATCTGGAACTCCACCCCCTTCCTCCCCCAGGACCCCCAGCCCTCCTTCCTCAGGGTCCTACCCCAGCCATCTTGTATTTCCAGCATCTTGACCTGGGAGCCTAGGGACACAACTCCTCCCTCCCCCTGAGACCCACAAATTCAGGCCCAAGTCTGTTCTTTGGCGAGAATATAAGCCTCCCCCCCTGCTCTCCCAGACCCTGAAGTCCACAGCCCAGGCCCTGGCTCCAGCCCCAGCTCCAGAATTGCCCCCTCCCCCAGTGCACACACACATAAGTGCACACACACGCACACTCCTGACCTCTGCCCTCAGGAGTCCAACATGTACAGAAGTGCTGGACCCCTCTCTACGGCAGGAGAGGTAGGAGCTGGGCGGCTGGCTGTGAGGGACCGAGAGGCCCAGGCTTTGTCTACTGGGGTGCAGATGTCCTTCTGGGTGTTTGAGTACCCACAGGTAATGTAGGCCGAAGCCCCTCAGTAAAAGAAGGGGTACAGAGGTATGTGTTCCTCAGAGGGATGGACAGACATCCATGAGCCCTGGACTTGTGGACCCCCGAGGGTGGTTTGTGCTAGGGGGCCAGGTTGTCTGCATGCTTAAATGGGACAGTAGAGGGGAGTTCTGGCTTACTGAGTACCAGCAGGGAAGGGAGTCAGGGGCATGGACCTCAGGGTTGGAGGCGGGAGGGGCTGGGGGCGTGAAATCCTGGGTCCTGGGGACGGAATGGGGCAGAAACCTGGGCTTTTGGGTCTGAGGGAAGAAGTCAGCAGTCACCTGGAGTCCTAGGTCTGGAACCCTAGGTCTGAACAAGAGAGCTGGAGGCCGGGACTTTGGGGTCCTGGGGGAGGAGGGGTCTGGGCACTTGAATTTCTGGGGCCGAGAGAGGAGGGGGTTGGGAGTCCTGACCGCTGGCTGCATGGAGACCTAGTTTACAAGCCTGGCCTTCTGGACCAATCTAAGCCCAAAGCCGGGTCCTAGCATGTTGGAGACCGAGGTCGGTGAAAGGCCTCCTGCTTCTTAAGCCTCAAAGTGAGGAGGGGGCAGAGGGCAGGAGCCACCCGACCCAAGTCCAGGTCCGGAGCTGATGATGTCTCAATGCCAGATTCTGAGTCCCCGCCTGCTCCCACTTCTTCCCTTTTTATTGGCAGCCCCTCACCTTGTTGTCCCAGGAGGGAGGCAGAGTCTGGGAGCAGGGGTGGGGGGCAGCCCCCTCCCCCAGCTCCGGCAGGAGGAGGGGTCCCCGGGGAGGCCAAGAGGGGGGCTGTGGATCTCCCGGCAGGGGCGGACGGGGACTGAATGTTAATCGCATCCCGAGTGAGTGTGTGTGTGTGTGAGAACAGAGCGAGCGTGCGAGTCCCTCCCGCTCCGGCTCCTCCAAGCCGCGGCGGCCGCGCCACCCTCCGCCCGCAGCCTCGCTCGGCCCTCGGTACCCAGCTGAGGGGGGTGTTGGCCTGGGTGGGTCCGCCCGGCCCCCAGGGGTCTCTCGTGCTCCTGCCGTCCGCCTGGTGAGGATCTGTGCGTCCGGGTGTCTGGGGCTGGGCTGGTGGAGGGGGGGTGTGTCTGTGAGGGCTGCTGCTGCTGCTGCTGCGGCGGCGGCGGCGGCGGCGGCGAGGGAGGGTCTGCCTCTGTCTGTGCCGGTCCCGAGCCGCCCGCCTGGGTGTCGCGGGTCCCCCGCTTTCCTCCCGCCAGCCCCCCAAACCCGAATGCATGGTGTGTACCTGGGCTCCGCGCCTCCTGCCTGCGTCCGGCCGGGCGTCTGCGTCCCTGGCTGCCTGTGTGTCCTCCTGTCTGTCGCACAGCCCCTGACGGCAGTGGCAGCCCGGCCCCCATCGGCCCCCCGCGTGTCCGTGTGTGTGTATGTGTGTGTGTCTCCCTTCTCAAGCTCCGGGGGTGTTGAAGGGAATCCCAGGGAAGTGAGGTGGTGCGTGTGTGCCTGTGTGTGTGTTTCTGCCTGGGTTTCAGAGTGGGGGCGCTCGGTGGGGGGGGGTCTGGAGGTGGCCAAGCAGAGAAGGGGCAAGCAGTTCCCCAGACAGGCCGCCTCCCGCCCCTCACACAAGCACACACATCAGCCACTGGCTTCAGAGGTGACCCAGACAGACAGACAGACACACAGACGCTGGGGGGGGGGGGCGCTGAGGGCACAAAAGGGGGGTGCGAATGAGCCAAGGAGAGGCGGGACTGGACACATGGACAGGGTGGGGGGAGGAGCCGGGGCTGAGGCAGCAAAGGGGGGCAGCCCGGGTGGGCGGAGGGGGATCCCCACGGGGTCGGGGCGGAGAGAGGACACCCCGACAGCCTCCGCAATGTCCGGGGCCCAACTTCCAGCGCAACATGTGTAGCGGCGTCCTCGCCTAGTCGGGGTGGCCGCAACCTTGGGGGACAGACAGGGCAGGACGGACCGAAGAAGAGGAGGGAGAGCCGGAGCCAGGGACAAGCAGGAGGTCCCCGCCGTGACCGCTGCCGCCCCACGGCCTGGCCCCCCAGCGGCTCGCCGAGCCCTCCGCCGGAATCTTCGGGTCGCTGGACTCCGGGTTCCGGTCCCAGCCCCCCCGCAATCCCCCCCACAGAACAGGGTCATGAAAAGGTAAGTCCGGGGTAGGGGATGCAGGGGTGGGGGTGGGGACGTGGACCCCCCCCCAGATCTAGGCCGGGGAAAGTTGGCCCTGGGCCTCCGGGAAGGAGGGGGGCTTGAAGAGTGAGCAGAGGTCTTTGTCTCCCCTCACCCCCACCAGCTGCCTTGTCTCTTGGGGACTCTCGTATGCTCCCTCTCTTTCTGGTCCCCGAGTCCCTTTTCCCTGGTAGACTTCCTACCCCCCCCCCCATTTCTCTGACACTTTGCTCGCTCTCCGCAGCCCCGTCTACCTGGCGCCCCGCACGCCTACCCCCATCTCCCCATCACACCGTCCCTCTGCACTCCCCTGCCCGCATCGGTCCCCCCCCACCTTGCTGGCCCGTCCCTCTCCCTCTCTCTCTCTCCTCTCCCTCTGCCCTCCCTTCTCTGAGCTATGAGTCTGCTATTAATACCCCTGCCAAGGACCTTGAGGGCATCCAGGCCCCGGCACCCCTCACCCCAAGCCACCACCCCTTCCCCGAGGTTCTGGAACAGGCTTATCTGAGCACCGGGACTAGGGTGGGATGAGAACGGTGTTGTGTGTAGGTGGGGGAAGCGGGACACCGTCTGCCGCACGATGCGCCGGGAGGGCGGGCTGTTGATCGAAGTGGCCGCTTGTGTCTTCTGTGATGGACTGGGGGGAGTGACGGAGATAAGGGCACCCTAGGAATCTCTAGCACCCTCCTCCTCCTCCTCCTCCTGGGCTAGGGGTTCAGGCTGTGCTATGGACAGGACCAGAGTCGGGCAAATGGGGAGGCTGGAGCTCATTGGGGGAAGGAGGCTGCCCAGGATGTTGGGACTGATGGGGGTTTGAGGCCAAGGGGGGGGTGCTTAGGGGAGGAGAGGGCTATGGGCCTGCACTCCTGCTTTCTGAGCAGAGTGAAGGCTGGGCACCTGGATTTCTGAGTCTAGAGAGAGCAGGGAGCTGGGACCCCTGCGTCCTGGGAGAGGACAGAATCTGAGCACTGGGCTCCTGGGTCCTGGGCCAGGGGAGAGCCGGGAGCCAGGACTTCTGAGTCCATTGGAGAAGTTGGAGGGTAGGGTTTCTGTGTCTGAGGTTGGAGGGGCTGGGCTCTGTCTTCTGGGTCCCTGACCCTGCAGGGGACCAGACTCCAACCCCATGGGGAGGGGAGTGGGGCCTGAGACTCGAGAGGAGGTGGAGATTGGGGACCTGGACAATATGATCCCTGAAGGTTCAGGTTCTGGGGATTGGGCCTCCAGAGTCCCCTGGAAACTGGGGGTGCTGCTCTCAGTCCCCCAACTGTGGGAGACCGCCCTCTGAATCCCTTATGGGAGAAGACTGAGTATCCAGCCTCCCAAGAAGGGGGGAGCCGCCCTCCTGGGCCTCAGCAGGGAGCAGCTCCCCGGGGTCCCCAAGGACAGAGGCCAGGCAGGGGTGGCTCTGAGCGGCAGAGGAGGGGTTGAGGAGTGAGCAGCCACCAGGAAAGGAGGAGAGCAGCGTGTTAACCCTGCCGGGGCCAGGCCACAGCTGTGGGTTATTTTGGGGCAGAGTGGGGGGGCTATTCTGAGCGCTGATTGAGCCAGCTGCATGGGGAAGGGCAGAGGAGAGGAGGGGCATGGGGAGCTAGGATTTGAGAGGGACCGCCATCCCAAGCCCCCCCACCCCCATCCCCAGGAAGACAGTAGCCCAGGGCCTCTGGGAAGGTGTGTGTTGGCAGTGGGGAGGCCCCTAGGCAGGAGAGGGGGGTGCGGGCCTTTCCCCCACTCTGGCTGTCAGTGGGCTAGACAGGCCTGTGCTACCATGGCAACCAGACAGCAGCCTGATTGACAGCCAAGAGAGAACCCTTCCTTGCCTGGACCCTCACTCCTTCAGGAAGCCCCTAATGCAGGCTCTAAGCTCTCTCTGGGAACTGGAAGTGCAGACCCCCCAGGGTCCTCCTCCCTCAGACTCAGAAGCCAGGAGTCTGGGCTCCTAGCCCGACCACCCTAGGCAGCCAGCATTCAACAGGGGACACAGGAAGAGACTCTGTATTTCCTCTCATTTACTAAATTGCTCTGGGCTGGGAGCCAGAGACCCCTGTCCCCAGCTCTCTGCAGCTGTGCCACCCCAACCCACAACCCGCCCTGGGCCGTGACCCTCCCTAGCTCTAAGAATGGGGGAACAGGGGCAGGAGTAAGGGGCCCAAAATGGGCTGGGGCTTGTCCTCTGGGTGAGGGGCAGGGTCACGGGGGCATCTTCTCTCCTTAGGGCGCCCCACTAATTTATTTTTTCTCTCTTTCTCTTCCCCCACACACCTGCCCCCTTTTTCCTTTCTCATTCCCCCCCTCACTTTTTTCCCCTTTTATTTTTTGATCTTTCCTGCCACTCGCCTTCCCTGCCTTCCTTTCATGTCTGTGTTGGGCACCTCCCGGGTGGGGTCCTGATCCCTGCCTTGCCTCGCTATTTCTGTCTGCCCGTTCTCTGTCTGCTCTGCCTGCCTCCTCCCTCCATCTCTCATCCTGCCTGCCTCTCCATCCCTCGTGTGTGCTCGTCTCCTGGTGGCCGTGGGCTCTCTCTGTCTTCCGGGGTGTCTGTCCATCTTCCTCTCTCCAACTTACATCTCTTACCTCTCCTGCCTTCCTTCACCCATCTCTGAATCTCTCCTTGCCTCCCTAATACTCCTCCTCCTTCGTCACTCCGTCCGGTCTCTCGGCCTCATCCTCCCTGTCTCTCACTCCGACCTCTTTCTCCCTGTCTCTTCTTCCATATCTTTCCTGACTTCGGTCGCTCTCTCTCTCCCCATCGCTCTACTGGTTATCTCTCTTTTCCTATCTCTGGATCGCTCCTTCTGCTCCCATCTCTGTGGGTCTGTTTCCCACCTGTCCTGTCTCATGGTCCTCCTCATCCTGTACCTTGTTTCTTCCCCACCTCTGTGTCTTCCGTGTGCCCAATACCTGCCACCACTCTCCATCGGGGTCTCTCCCTCTGCCTGAGTCTCTCCCTGTCTTTATCGCCTCAATCTTTCCCTCTCCTCCCTATCTCGGTCTCTCCCACCCTGTATTTCCTCATCCTCGTGTGTCTCTTTCTGTATCTTGTCTCCCACCGCTGTGTCTCTCACTTATTTGTGTCTTTTTTCTACTCCCGGGCTCTCCCCGTCTGTGTGTCCTCCCCTTCCTTCCGTGTCCCTCCCCGACCCTGGTGCTCAGAGGCCGCCCGGCGGGGCCCGCAGGCGATGCGCGGCGCCGGTGGCCCCGGCGGCCCTCGGGGCCCCGCTAAGATGTTGCTGCTGCTGGCGCTAGCCTGCGCCAGCCCGTTCCCGGAGGAAGCGCCGGGGCCGGGCGGGGCCAGCGGGCCCGTTGGGGGTCCCAGCGGGGCGCGGCCGCTCAACGTGGCTCTCGTGTTCTCGGGGCCCGCGTACGCTACAGAGGCAGCCCGCTTGGGCCCGGCCGTGGCGGCTGCTGTGCGCAGCCCGGGCCTGGACGTGCGGCCGGTGGCGCTGGTGCTCAACGGCTCGGACCCGCGCAGCCTGGTGCTGCAGCTCTGCGACCTGCTGTCGGGGCTGCGCGTGCACGGCGTCGTCTTCGAGGACGATTCACGCGCGCCCGCCGTCGCGCCCATCCTCGACTTCCTCTCGGCACAGACCTCGCTGCCCATCGTGGCCGTGCACGGCGGCGCCGCGCTCGTGCTCACGCCCAAGGTGCGCGCGACCTGCGGGCGGGGACCAGGGCCAGAGGCGAAGGGCGGGGCCAAATCGAGGGGCGGGCCAGTCGCGGAAGGGGCGGGACCGTGACCGTGGATGAGGGGTGTGGCTTGGAAGGTCAGCTTCTGGAACTGGCTAGGTGGTAGGGGTCAGGTCTAGGTGGGGGCGGGGCTGACTTGGAGGGGCGTGGCCTATAGAATGAGCTGGGGGCTTAGGGGTAGGGGGGCCTGCCTGGGGGACTCATCTAGAAGTAGGGTCTGACAGAGGCCAATTTATGGGGAAGGTTGAGGATTCTGTGAAAGAGGTGAGTGGGACCTGGGGACGAGTCAGGACCAGCCAGCCAGGGGAGGGACAGGGAATGAAAAGGGACCCGCCTGAGATGACAAGATCTGAGGGAGGATGGGATCTGGGATCAGCACAAGAGGAGTCACTTGGGGAAGAATGGGGTTCAGAGATGGATGGGGGTTTGGCGGGGAGGCAGGAGCCAAGAAGTCAGGGACCAGGAAAGAGGGGTATTAGGTACTGAGAGTCAGGGAGGCTCGGGCAGCTGAGCATGGGGTCTAGAGATCCACATAGGACGGGGCCATCGGTGAAAGGGAGGAGTCATTAGTGAGAAGTGGGCTGTGGGGGCGGTAGAGTCATGCAGCAAGTGGGTTTGGGGGCGTGGCCAGTCAATGAGGGGCGGGGCTACCAGTGAGGCGAGTCCCGGGGACCATGCAGAGCCTATGCTCTGTACTAAAGGGACGGTGTCTAGAGAGAAAGCCCATCCTGGGAATGGGGTTTGGGCCTGGGCCAACTCAGCTGTAAAACGTGGAAAGCGAGAATTCAAAAGCTGGGCGGGGGAGGATAAAGGCCCTGCCACGGAGGGAGAGGTCAAAGCCAGGAGCCTGCAGGAGAGGTTGGGGCTGAGGCTGGAGCTGGCTGTGGCCTGGAGAGAGATCTGCCTCCGGAGGTCGCAGAAGGGGCCTGATTGAGTGATCTTCTGGTAGCAAAGGGCAGAGCTGGAACGAGCCTAGTGTGCAGACTAAGAAGGAAAAGGGGTCAGCAAACAAGGAGGTGCGGGAAGGGGCGGGGCCTATCCAGGGGTGGAGCCAGCGTGACGGAGGTGGGGCTTTCAGGGGATAGGGCCACCGGAGTGGGTGGAGCCTAAATCTCCACCAGTTCCCTAATGTGGGGATGATGGCTTTGTTCTGGGACTCTCCAGTCCAGAGCATTCTGGGCAAGGCCTCTGTCCAATTTGCTTCCTCTCTTTGGCATGGAATCGCCCATAGATTTATAGGCAGATCACCTTCGAGGTGAACTTATTACCAAGAGATATGGTCTCTCGTTGCCTCCATTGCTGAAGACTGTGGTCTGCTCAGTTTATTGTCTCAGTAGTCATTGTGGCCCGCTGGGTGTACACGCATTCCCTTCTGGGAAATGTAGTCTGAAGATGAAGTAGGGTGGTCCTCACAGCTACATCTGTGCCCCCATTGAATGCTGGGAACGTGGTCTCCTCAGCACACATTCACCTGCAAAGGGCGAGGTCCTGTCGGGGGTTTCACCGCATGAAAGTCCTGTCCGGGTTTCATACCCTGCGGGTATGCGGGAAGACCTCACACCCGCAGGACAACTGCTCTCTTCCCTGCCCTTCCAACCCCAGGCACACGCCTAGGGAGTTAAGTCCACTCGCTCTCCTCCTTGTGTTTCTGGAGGACTTCTTAAGGGCTAATTCTGTGCCAGGGGTGTTTTAGGTTCTGGAGAATACAGTTGTAAAAGGAAAAATAGATATGCAAAGTCCCTGCTGGTAGAGCTTGCATTCTAATTGGGGAGACAAACAAACAAACAAACAAACAACATAATAAAAGCTGTCCTGGAGGACAGAAACAGGATGTCGTACTGCCCGACGTGGGCCTTCAAGAGATGGCAGTCAGGGGGGCCTCCTGAGATGGGGACAACTGAGCTGGGCCTGAGGAATGAGGAGGGGCAGGTCCAGCATGGAGGAGCTGGGGGAAAGTGTCCCCAGGAGAGGTACCAGCTCATTTGAAGAGCCATAGGTAGCCCATGGCTACTGTGTTGGAAAGCCCCTAAAGCGGAAAGGAACCTGATGTGTTCGAGAAAGAGCGAAGAGGTGGGGGTGGCGGGAGATGAGATCAGGGAGGCAATGGGGTCCAGTTCATGTGGGGCCTTGTGGGCCACAGAGACGGCTTTGGCTCTGACTCTAAGATAGAACCATTGGAAGGTATTCAACCAAGAAGGGATGCTATCCAATTCCTATTTGGAAAAGATCATGCTGGCTGCTGTCTGGAGAACAGACTGGAAGATCCAAGAATGAAAGCAGAGCCGGGTTAGGAAGCCGTTGTCATTGCCTAGGCACGAAAGTGGTGACAATGGGGGTTGTGACAGGGACAGTAACGAGGTGTGGACAACCGGGGTTATTGTTGAACAGAGAACCAGGAAGACTTCAAGGTGGCCTGGGTGTGGGCATGAGGGGAAGAGAAGGAAAGGGCGATTTTGCTCTGAAACCTGAGCATCTGGGGGAGTAAGGAACACACAAGCACCCAGTGTGAATCGAGGGGGAGATCTGGAATCCTGGCTTTGACTCGTTAATTTTGAGATGCTCTTGGAGACCCCAGGGGAGATGTGGAGCACACAGGTGGTGGCGGAAGACAGGCGTCATCAACACCTTTAACACTGTCCAGTAGAACGTTCTTTAGTGAGGATGGCCTAGATCCGCTCTGTCCAGCATGATAGCCACTCCCCGTGTGCGAGTGTTGGACAATTGGCATGTGGTTAGTGCAACAGGGAACTAAAATTTAGTTCATTAAAATCTGAAGAGCCAAAGGTTGGCTGAATGCTACCATATTGGGTAGTGCAAGAGCCAGTATTAAAACGTATGGATCTGTATGAGATGACCAGAGAAGGAAAGGGAAGACTAGAGCACTTTTGTGTTTAGAATTCTGACTGAACTAGAGAGTTCAGCCAAGGAAACAGACAGGAAGATAGAAAGCAAACCAGAGAAGGGCAAGTCCACTCAGCAAAGCTTCTTCCAGGCAGGACAGGCAGTACTTCTAGCACCCTCACTGCATGCTGGGAGATGTAGTCCCTCTCAGTGGATGCTGGGAACTGTAGTTCCCTCACTCGGTGCTGGTGGATTCATTATGGTAATGCTAGTCCTCTAACAGATAAACCCCTACATCACAGTGACTTACCCCAGTAAAAGGTTATTTCTTACTCATATAAACTCCCAACAGGTGTCCCCGACTGGAGGTGGCATGCCTCCAAGTGGTGACTCAGGGATCCAGGCTCTTCCCTCTTGTGTCTCTGTAATCCCCTATGACCTCAGAGTTCTCTTCTGAGTTCTCTGCCTCTGCCCTCAGACAGGGAAGAAAGTAAGATGCATGGGGGAGAGTTGTAATGGATGAGCCTAGAACTCAGTCATGTGGCCAAACCTAACCCAGGTCTAGCTCTGTGCCCCAACAGGAAAAAAAAGAAGCAGGTTTGGTGAACAGCTAGGACGTCTGTTATTCTGAGAGCTGTGACCCATCGGTGGTGGGTGGGAGTTCTGGTCCCTGTATCAGCTTCCGGGAGACGAGGCCCCCTTTTGACCACTGGGAACTGTGATCCCCTTGTCGGTTGCTGAGGGTCCCTTATTGTCTCCTGGGAGCTGACATTTCGGCACCAGGAGGCCTGATGCGCCCCTCCTCCCACCGGCAGGAGAAGGGCTCCACCTTCCTACAGCTAGGCTCCTCCACAGAGCAGCAGCTTCAGGTCATCTTTGAGGTGCTGGAGGAGTACGACTGGACGTCCTTTGTCGCTGTGACCACCCGTGCCCCTGGCCACCGGGCCTTCCTTTCCTACATCGAGGTGCTGACTGATGGCAGTCTGGTGGGCTGGGAGCATCGTGGGTCGCTGACGCTGGACCCTGGGGCGGGCGAGGCCGTGCTGAGCGCCCAGCTCCGCAGTGTCAGCGCCCAGATCCGCCTGCTCTTCTGTGCCCGTGAGGAGGCCGAGCCTGTGTTCCGGGCGGCCGAGGAGGCCGGCCTCACTGGGTCTGGCTACGTCTGGTTCATGGTGGGGCCCCAGCTGGCTGGAGGCGGGGGCTCGGGCTCCCCTGGAGAGCCCCTTCTTCTGCCAGGAGGCGCCCCACTGCCTGCCGGACTGTTTGCAGTGCGCTCCGCTGGCTGGCGCGATGACCTGTCCCGGCGTGTGGCAGCTGGCGTGGCCGTAGTGGCCAGAGGTGCCCAGGCTCTGCTGCGAGACTATGGCTTCCTGCCCGAGCTCGGCCATGACTGCCGTGCCCAGAACCGCACCCATCGAGGGGAGAGTCTGCATAGGTGAGTGGGGCAGGGGTGGGCAGGGTGTGGGGGAGGCTGCAGAGACTGACCTCATGGGCCACGTCTCCCTTCATAGCCTCGGTTTCCTTTTCTATAAAATGAATGTAACTGGGTCTCTTTCGCGGGGTTAGATCAGGTCATTTGGAGAAAGCAGCCAAAACACAGTGTATTATGTCATTTCATGATTTTCAGGTAGAAATGTTTTCAGTTTCATGTCCTTGACATCAGGATGTGTCTTACAATTGATGGCTTCTTGTGGAAATACCCCAGGGAGTATGAACTGAATTTCAGTAACAAAAAGGCCCCAACGGCCCTGGCTGGTGTGGCTCAGTGGATTGAGTACCAGCCTGTAAACCAAAGGTTCCCAGTTTAATTCCCAGTCAGGGCACATGCCTGAGTTGCAGGCCAGGTCCCCAGTAGGGGGCGCACAAGAGGCAACCACATATTAATGTTTCTCTCCCTCTCTTTCTCCCTCCCTTCCCCTCCCTAAGAATAAAAAAATAAATCCTAAAAATAAATAAATAAATAAATAAAAAGGCCCCAACAGCCCTAACCAGGTAGAAGTTTGTTCCTCTATCACTTAAGAATCCCGAGATGTGGAGTCCAGGTTATCAGGAGACCCTACTGCTCCCTGTGGCCATTTAGGGCCCCAGGCCCCTCCACCTTGTTGCTCTGCCATGTCCTCTCCCCACAATTAAAGCTGGGTCCTGGGCAAATCTGAATTCCAGCTCGTGAGAAGGGAAAGGGAGGTAGTGGAGAACAGTTTCCTTTTGGGTAAGCGAGGTGGAAGGAACAGTCTAACATCCCATTGGTGAGAACCTAGTCACGTGCCCAGGGCCAGCTTATTGGCCGTTTACAGCCACGTTTCAGCAGATGTGGATTCTGATTGGTTAGTGCCTGTGGGCGGTACTGATTGTTAGATATTTTCAGTGTGGCCCCCGCTTGTGCCCCGGGCTAGCTGCGGGGAGACTGGGAAACGTGAACTCTAGCTGGGCAGCTGTGCACCCAGCGTACTCACTATTATTTTACTTTATTTTAATATTTTATTTACTTATTTTTAGAGAGAGGAAGGGGGGAGGAAGAGAGGGAGCAAAACATCAATGTGTGGTTGCCTCTTGTGCGCCCCCTACTGGGGACCTGGCCTGTAACCCAGGCATGTGCCCTGACTGGGAATGAACCAGTGACCCTTTGGCTCACAGGTCAGCACTCAATCCACTGAGCCACACCAGCCAGAGCCACACCATTATTTTAGAATAGAACAAGGTGGTGGAAAACAGCACCTCCACCAGAGGAAGCTTTGTGAGTGGAGACACTGATGAGTTGAGTGACAGAACAGTGGAAGGAGAGACCTCTACCCTGAAATGAGCTGAGAAAGAAGTGAGGGTGGGAAAGAAAATCTAAGGGAGGAGAATTGAGAACTGGTGAGTTGGGAATCAGGATCCAGGGACAAGAGAGTGAGAAAAACATCCCTGGTTCATAAATACTTACTGAATTCAGCCTGCTAGGAACTAGGGCTCATGCTGGGCGCTGAGAACACAGATGAAAAAGACCATGGATGTCTCTTTAAAGAACGCAGGGTCCTGTAGGGGCGGCAGACACGGACGGCATGAGGACAACGCAGCGTGAGGCTTGCAATGATGCAGGTTAAATGGGCATCATGGGAGCACTGGGGAGAGTACTGTCTAAATCAGGATAATTTGGGTTGCAAGAAGCAGCATCTCATTCAAGTTTCCTCAGGGAAAAGGGGGTATATTGGAACGACAAATAGTCACAGAAACCCAGATGCCAGGAAGTGACAGCCCCCCTCCTCCGCCCCTGGCTTGCCACTCCCCAAGGCCGCCCAGTGCCTTTCTTACCAGCACTTACCCAGGATTCTACTTCCTCCTAACACTCATAATTTCACCCATCTCGTTCACCACCCATCCCTCCAAACGTCACAGTCAACGTCCTCCCAACAGAGGAATTTGATTAATTAGTCCCAATTGGCCTTCCAAACTGGGCCACAGTTCAGCCTGCGACAACAGGGAGGTTTTCCGGAGGAGACATGTGAGCTGAGACGTAAAGGATGAATCCCTCGCTCATTCATTCATTCATTCACTGAAAAGCCCTTTCGTGAAAGTGCTTTAGGCACAAGGGTACATGGTGTTGAACAAGGTCCCTGCTCTCACAGAGCTTACAGTCTCATAGTGGACAAGCAAGATAAGGAAAAGCCCTAGCAGGTGTGGCTCAGTGGACTGAGCACCCTGCCTGGAAACCAAAGCATCACCAGTTTGATTCCCAGTCAGGGCACATACCCGGGTTGCGGGCCAGGTCCCCAGTGAGGGGCTCGCAAGAGGCAACCACACATTTGATGTTTCTCTCCTCCTTTCCCCTCTGTTTAAAAATAAATAAATAAAATCTCTATTTAAAAAAAGGAAAAAGAAAATAACGTGGGTGATAACTTCTGAGATGAGAATAAAACTGGTGAAATGTGGTACAAAATGTCTAGGGTGCTGTATGAAAAGAGGTCATCAGGAAAAGTCTTACTGAGTAGGTGACATTTGGAGGTAAAAATTAAAAATAAAAAACCCCTGGCTGGCGTCACTCAGTGGATGGAGTGTGGGCCAGTGAACCAAGGGGTCAGTGGTTCAATTCCCAGTCAGGGCACACACCTGGGTTGCAGGCCGGGTCCCCAGCTGGGGTGTGGGAGAGGCAGCCAGGCGTTGATGTTTCTCTCCCTCTCCTTCTCCCTCCCTTCCCCTGTCTCTAAAAAAGTAAATAAAATCTTTAAAAGAAAATTAAAAACCAACAAAATGAAAGTTAATTAAAAATAGAAAAAAGAAAAAATAATAAAAGAGAAAAGTCATTGTGTCTGGAGCTGAACAGACAAGGGGGAGGGGCTCTGACTAAGAGACAGGGCTCACACAGGGCTCAGCTCATATAGGGCTTAAAAAAAAGACTTTATTTATCTATTTCTAGACAGAGAGGGAGTGAGGGAGAAAGAAAGGGAGAGAAACATCAATGTGCCGTTGCTTCTGGCACGTCTCCTACTGGGGACCTGACCCACAACCCAGGCATGTGCCCTGACTGGGAATCAAACCTGTGACCCCTTGGTTCAGAGGTCTGCGCTCAGTCCACTGAGCCACACCAGCCAGGGCTCACTTAGGGCTTTGCAGGGGTTTGCACTGGATTGTAAGAGAACTTGGGAGTTCACTAGAACAAGGGAGTATTCCAGGCAGGGGCACAGCATTGCGCAAAGGCCCAGAGGGGAGGAAAACTTGGGCACGTGTTACAACTAGCTCAGGGCAGATGATGGCAGGAGAATTAGGGCTCGTGGGGCGATGAGACTGGCTCAGTGATGGGGCCCTGAGGGGGATAGATGGGGCCTGCGACACCAGGTTGAGAGTCTCGGACATAGTTCTGGAGCACTGGGGAGCCATGGGTGGCTGAGGAGCAGGGGAGAGGTGGAGTCCGTTTTGGGTGCAGAAAAGCCCCTCTGGGGCAGAGTGGGGCACAGAGTGAAGGAGAGAGATCGGGGGCTGGAGGCCAGGCAGGAGGTTCAGGAGGGAGATGGGGATGGAGAGGAGGAGACACAGCAGAGAGATCCCAGGGGCGGGAAGGATGGGGCTTGCGGACCAATGGCCGGGGCCAGGGGAGTGAGGGGGGCACTGAGGATCTGGCCCAGTGACCCGGGCCAGACAGTGACACTCATCCATCAGACGGTATTTACTAAGCGTCTAGTATGTGGCAGGCTCTGAGCCGCGCGCAAATCCCTGCCCTCTAAGGGCTCTCAGCTTCCTGGGGAAGACAGAAAATACACTCTGAGGCAGGGGTGTCAAACTCATTGTCACTGGGGGCCACATCAGCCTCACGGTGGCCTTCAACCGTGACAGGCCTGCAGAGTACAGGGTGTCACTGCAGAGTGAAGATATCTGGGGCTCCAGAGACCCTCGGAGGCTTCTCCCAAGAGGAAGGAATGTTGAAACTGAGCCTTGAAGACTTAAGAATTACTCAGGACAAGAAGGGACAGAATGAATGACTTCCAGGCAGAGAAAACAGCTTGCAATGGCCTAGAGATGCAACACCCCTTAGTATGTTTGTAGACATTCAGCATCAGTGGGGCACAGAGCGGATTTGGGGGGAAAGAGTTAGAGGATGCAAAGCAATCAGAGATGGTAGGGCCAGAACCCTTGGGGTCTCCACTGCCTCAGACCCGGGCTGAGGGCCTGGGACCTTGGGTGGGTGCGCTGGGTGGTGAGGGGAGGGTCCCTAGCTCAGTGGAGTTTCTGAAGATCTTGGAGGAGAGATTCTACCTGGGGGCTGGGGCTTGTCAGTAGAAAGGCAACTTTTTCTGTTTCAGCCACCAAGGTCCACTCTAGTGTCCCACATGTCCCCTCCCTTCCCTCTTGGCAGGTACTTCATGAATATTACCTGGGACAACCGGGATTACTCCTTCAATGAGGATGGCTTCCTGGTGAACCCTTCCCTGGTGGTCATCTCCCTGACCAGAGATAGGACCTGGGAGGTGGTGAGTCCCATCCCGGACTCCTGGGTCCTGCCAGAGAAGGGGGGGAGGGGCTGACACTTTGGCCTCTGAGGGAGGAAGGAGCTGGGAGCCCAGAATTCTGGTTCTTGGGGGGAAGAACTGGGAACCCAGACCTAGGGGGAGGACGGAGATGGGGCCCAGACTCCTGGGTCTGAGGGAGAAGGGGCGGGGAGCCACGAAGGCCCCCAGGGAGGGGGAAAGTGCCCCCAGGAAGCCTGAACCCCCTCCTCTTGGCCAAGGTGGGCAGCTGGGAGCGGCAGACTCTCCGCCTCAAGTACCCGCTCTGGTCCCGCTACGGTCGCTTCCTGCAGCCAGTAGATGACACGCAGCACCTCACGGTAGCCACGCTGGAAGAGAGGCCCTTTGTCATTGTGGAGCCCGCGGACCCCATCAGCGGCACCTGCATCCGGGACTCGGTGCCCTGCCGGAGCCAGCTCAACCGCACCCACAGGTGACAAGAGCCATCCCCGAGTTGCAGCTTCAAACTCCTCCTCCCGTGAAGCCCAGTCGTCCGGGCCCCAATCCCCTCCTTCCTTGGGACCCAGGACCCACACCGCCCTCCAGCTTGGTGACTTTGGACAAGTCCGGTAACTCCTTTGAGCCTCAGTTTACCCAGAGAGCACTAACCTTAGTTTTAGCCGCTGCTTGTTCCTCCCTCCATAAGGCGAGGGGATCCCCAACGTTCCCAAGCTTGCTCGTTCCCCCGCAGCCCTCCGCCGGACGCCCCCCGCCCAGAAAAGCGGTGCTGCAAGGGCTTCTGCATCGACATTCTGAAGCGGCTGGCGCAGACCATCGGCTTCAGCTATGACCTCTACCTGGTCACTAACGGCAAACACGGGAAGAAGATCGACGGCGTCTGGAATGGCATGATCGGGGAGGTGAGGTGGTCGGGACCGGGTGGGGGCGGGCCAGGACAGGGGGAGGGGACTGGGAGGGGCGAGAGGGAAACCCAGAGTGCAAGGGGTCTGACCCGAGGGGGAAAAACTCTGAGGCAGGAGGGGCGTGGTTTAACGGAGGGCACGCCTGCATTTGAATGGGCAGGGCCAAGCGAAGGCCGGTGGTGGAGGGGCGGGACCAGAAGGATGGAACTCCTAAGGGGGCGTGGCCAGGAGGATGGAGCCCTAGAAGGCCCGTGGCGGAGGGGCGGGACCAGAAGGATGGAACTCCTAAAGGGGGCGTGGCCAGGAGGATGGAGCCCAAAATCCTGCTGCAGGAGCTGGCCGCGGCCAGGGCCACCTATTCCCACGCCAGTTCCCAAACTCACTGAAACCTTTCCTGCCCCACTCTGCGTCCCCTTCACCCACCCACGCACCGGCCCTTCTAGCCTCTCTCCTAGGCTGTTACTAGTCTCTTCCCGGGGCGGGTATTGCCTGCCTCCCGCCGGGTTCGTTCACCTCCTCCTCGCCTTTACCCCAGGTGTTCTACCAGCGCGCTGACATGGCCATCGGCTCCCTCACCATAAACGAGGAGCGGTCCGAGATCGTGGACTTCTCCGTCCCCTTCGTGGAGACAGGCATCAGCGTCATGGTGGCGCGCAGCAACGGCACCGTGTCTCCCTCCGCCTTCCTTGGTGAGCATGGGGCCCTGGACGGCCAGGCTGGCGCGGTCTGGTATCGCCTGTGCTAGCGCTGTGACTCCGGTGAAGTGGTCTCACTTCCGAGCCTCAGTTTCCTGATCTGTAACGGGGGAGGAGTAACTTCCGCTGCCAGAAGCATTTTGACCATGAAGCTCAGGAGTTTCGGGAGCCTTCTCTTGCACGGCTTCTTCATGACCCCGTCCCTGGTTTTGTCTTCATGATCCTGGATTCTTTTCTCTTAAAGAGAAGCCTCCAAATGAAATGAGCTTCGGGCTCCACAAAATCCAAGTCTTCCCCCGTATATTCATGGGAGATGAGGAAAAGAGACTAATTAGCATGGCACTCCCACGCATAATTGCTCAACTCATCCATCAGACAGTATTTACTAAGCATCTAGTATGTGGCAGGCTCTGAGCTGCGCGCAAATCCCTGCCCTCTAAGGGCTCTCAGCTTCCTGGGGAAGACAGAAAATACACTCTGAAGCAGGGGTGTCAAACTGTTAGGGGGGGTGTCAAACTCATTGTCACTGGGGGCCACATCAGCCTCACGGTTGCCTTCAAAGGGCCGAATGTTATTTTAGGACTGTTATTTAAACGAGCGCTCGGGGCTGCCACCAGGTAGAAACAAGGTGTAGGGCCGGATAAAACAAAGTGGAGGGCCCAATTTGGCCCGCGGACCTTGTGTTTGCCACCTTCTGCTCTAAAGGGATACAGGGACAAAATCACTTCTGGTGGTGACAAATACAGCGATCAATGAAGCCAGGGGAAGAGAAGGAAAGGAATAGGACTGGGGCTGCTGGGGCTGGGCAGGTGGGTCCCTTTGAGGTGGTCACTCAGTCCCGCGGAGATCTGTCTGGAAAAGCGTCCTAGGCAGAGGGAAGAGCAAGAACAAAGGAGCCAGGTGGGAATGTGCGTGAAGTATTTGTGATATTGAGGGAGGCCCGTGTGGCTGGAGCAGGGGCTCAAAGGAGAGCAGGTGGCAGGTGAGGACCACCTGGGACCAGAGCAGGTCAGCCCCGGCCTTGGTAGGGAGGTTGGGTTTTACTCTTAAGGAAACGGCATGGGTTTTAACTACAGGTGGTGGTAGAAAGATGGCAGCCAGGGTGACACAAAGAGACAGGCTTGGGATGTGGTCAGGAAGCTGTCACCCAGGCAGGCTGGTGGCTTTGAGGTGCGCTGGAGCGGGATAGAGAGCTCATTTACTGAGCTTGGGGCTGACAGAAGGAGGCGTGTGCATCCGGCCAAGAGAGCAGCGCTCCTGTCAGTCCTCGGTCTGAAGTCTCGGCGGAGCTCCCGGGAGGGGAAGGTGCTGCGAGAAGGACCGTGTGTCCTCCTCGCTTTGTTTTCAGTACTTTTTCCCCAGCGATGCCTCTTGGGGCTTCCTCTTCGTGCCAAGGTCTCTGCAGGGCACCTTGAGATGCACCACGTGGGGCCCCTGCATTCAGCAGGGGAGTGACAAGGTCCTGTGTATGACCCACTGTGTTGCCCAGTGGAGACAACAGACATGTCCCCAGCTGCTGCAGTGACAGTCCAGGGTGGTGACTCTGTTGTGACAGAGGCAGTCCTGGCCACTTGCACTCGGCCCAGGGAGATCAAATCAAGCAGTGCTAAGCTAAAGAAAATGGCGTATTGTCAGCGAACTCCCAGAGGCAGTGTGAGGAGTGAACTTGAGTTTGAGGGACACATCAAGATGGCCCCCCTGGCTGTGGAGCTCTGGGGACAGAGGCAGAGAGGGTGTGGCTCTTTCAGGGGGCTGTGAGTTCTGCATGGTTAAAGCAGTGAGTTCTTGTGGATTTGTTTTTTTTTTCTGTAACCACAACAAGTGCTTTAAAGCAATAGGTTCTTGAGAGAGTCATCAGCCTGGAGAGGAGGGTGGAAGCAAGGCTGAGGGCTGGGGCTTTGTCCTGGGCTGCAGGGGAGCCCCCACAGACTGTGCACTGGGGAGAGGTCGGGTCATCTTTGGGTGTAGAAAGAGCCTCTAGGGCCCTGGGGGGGGATGGACTTGAAGGGAGAGACTGGGGAGATGGTCTGGGAGAGAGGACAAGGCCTGACCCTAGGGCGGGGCTGGGGGACAGGGCGGGGGGAGGGGCTGGCAGTCGGTGGCAGGTGAGGGAGAGAAAGGGCAGGGGGTGAGGATGGCAAATGGGAGTCGGGTTGTGATGGGAGGGGTGGTGGGGCCCCAGGACAGGGCATCTCAGAGCTGGTGCTGGGCTCGGTCTGGGTTGTGAATGGTGTGGGGGACCGGGGCGGGGTGGAGGCAGGGAGAGTGGAGACTCAGGTTTGAGGCTCAGGAAACACACTTAGGAGACAGTTTCTATGTAGTGGTTGAAACCACAGAAATGGTGGAGATGGCTGTGATGGTTAAGAGGGACTGGCTCCCTGAGGCCTGGGTGGACAGTGAGGCTGTCCCCGGGATGGGAAACCTGGGAAGGGGACAGAGGGAAGATGACATGGTCAGATCTGGGCTGCACCCTGGTTGCATGTCTGTGACCCCCAATCTTTGGCCTGGCTGAGCCATGACCACATACCCCCTTGCCCCCAGAGCCCTACAGCCCCGCTGTGTGGGTGATGATGTTCGTCATGTGCCTCACTGTGGTCGCCGTCACTGTTTTCATCTTCGAGTACCTCAGTCCGGTCGGTTACAACCGCAACCTGGCCACCGGCAAGCGTGAGTCCCCTTCTTCCATCACCCGACCTCAGAGAGTCTGGACTACGGATAGAACTACATTTCCCAGCAGGCATTGGGTAGGGCCAAGGCCTCTCGAGGTGGCAGAGGCCTCAGGGGCCACTGGGAATTGTAGTTCTTTCTGCTCCTTCATCGAGCAGAAGGGATTTGGGGTCCATGTCCCCCTTCCCTCCTGGCCCCCTGCAGGCCCTGGTGGCTCAACCTTCACCATTGGAAAATCCATCTGGCTGCTCTGGGCCCTGGTGTTTAATAACTCGGTGCCCGTGGAGAACCCCCGGGGCACCACCAGCAAAATCATGGTGCTGGTGTGGGCCTTCTTTGCCGTCATCTTCCTTGCCAGCTACACAGCCAACCTGGCCGCCTTCATGATCCAGGAGGAGTACGTGGACACCGTGTCGGGGCTCAGTGATCGAAAGGTGTGTGTGTGTGTGTGTGTTTGGGGAAGGGGGAGTTGGCGGGGGTCAGAGGTCACAGAGCTGGTCCCCCTGCGCAATTCCTGGCATCTCTTCCCAGAAAGAGCTCCGCAGCGGTAGAATTGTGGAGCTCACCGTGAAGTACTCAAATATTCCCAGGGGAAGCGTGTCCCCAAACATCCTAGGGGCAGTAGTGCCACCCAGTCTAGACCACCGTTTCTCTCAAACTGTGCTGAAGAACCCATTTCAGAAATTTCGAATCCAGTGGAGACCAGTGCTTTTGTAAAATCCAATAGAAATGAATGACTAGACAAGTGAAAATTAAAACCAAGACATGCAAAATTCAAACCCAGATTCATAATGTATGAGGTTCAACAGACATACAATTATTCTGTCCACTTACCATAAGTGCTGCCACTCTCGATCTCTGTACGTGCCTCCTCCAGGGTCACCCTCTGTTCACTGGGTGTCACAACCTCTTAAAAGGTTGGCAAATCAATTCCATGAATGGCCACAAGCAATTTGTTTTAACGGAATGGAATAGAATAGGAAATATCTTTGACTGCCTCTCATGAAATAGGATGAATATGGTCTTAGGAAACTTTTGTCTTAGTCATGCACACACCTGTCTGGCTGCGCCTGTAGTTAGAATCGTGAACTGTTTCTGAACAGAGTGATAAATAACACCTGGCCCAGCCACCTGTCCCCGTGCCAGCCCCTGCCCCTGGGGTGTCCCCTGATCCAGCACGTTAGGGGTTAATGGTCCCATCAAAGGCCTCTAGGACTCTTCTTGAGCTCTGTAACCTGTAGCTAGGGACTTTTTTTACCGGACCACGTTCAGCCCATGCCGGCTGTTAAACATTTCAATATTACTGATTATGTGCGTATATATATGTATCTGTATATATCTGCAGATGAATAGCTATCCGTGGGTCTGTGGGTGGCGAGTCGTGTTTGCTACGCTGGGCCACTGTGAGCAAGTTCGAGATACCCTTCTGTACTGGGGTGTCCCCTCCCCGTCCTCCAGAATGGAGCGTCTGGGTGGAGGATATCCGCACCCAGATGGCCCCAGGGGGACACCCTAGTAACTTTCCCTTCTGTCCCAGTTCCAGCGGCCTCAGGAGCAGTACCCGCCCCTGAAGTTTGGGACGGTGCCCAACGGGTCCACGGAGAAGAACATCCGCAGCAACTACCCCGACATGCACAGCTACATGGTGCGCTACAACCAGCCCCGAGTAGAGGAGGCGCTCACTCAGCTCAAGGCAGGGTCAGCGCAGGCGCGGGCCGGGCTTGGGCGAGGGGGCGGGGCGGGGGCGGGGCCGGGCCCTGAGGATGCTTGGAGATGGTTGGTGAGGGGTACGAGGTCCTTTATCAGCCTCAGGGGTCTGCCCAAGGGGGGTTCAGCTTGGAAGGCAGAGGTCACTTCAGCTTGAAGGTGGGAATGAACTCCCCATCCCCAAGCAGGGTGTTTGTTCCAGTTTTAAGGATCCAGTAGTTCAAACCCTAGCTTTGTCCCTTTTTGGCTGTGTGACCTTGGGCAAGTCAGTCAACGTCTCTGAGCTTCAGTTTCCTCCTCCGTAAAATGGGGATAAAAGGAGGACTCACCTCAAAAGGTTGTTATAAGAACCACTATCGTTATTATTATTAGTGAATATGATATATTATTTTGTTATCATTGTTAGCTCATTCATGCCAAACACTTAGAGCAGTGTCTGGCACAGTGTGGATGTTTGCTGCTATTATCCTCTTTATCATCATCGTCATCATCATCGTCATCATCATCATCATATGGCTGAACTCAATGGAATGACTATTTGGATTATGTTGTTGTTGCTTTTTTTTAACATCAGGTCTCC